GCGCCCACCCCGCGCCCCGCCGCGCTCCCGCCCGTGCTGACAGCTCCCTAACCGACTTCTGCGGGCCCAACTGCCTCAAACAGGGAAGTGCCGGGAGCGAACCACCGCACGCCGCGGCGGGGAGGAGGCGAGGCCAGACACCCGGCCTGGGATCCACCCAATCCCACCCACCTCCAACTCCACATCGGAAGACACAGTTTAGTTCCCCAAAAAAGAAATAAAATTCTCTCCCTTAGCCCAGGATGTGGACATGGAAAACTCAGTCTACCCCTCACCAGTCCCTTTCCCCTGCTCCACCAACCTCATATGGTTCAGTCCACAACTGGGCCTCTTCCAACGGCTATGCGGTCAGGGGGTGACAACAGGGCCTGAGCCAAACCATTCCAGCTGCTGACACTCTTGCAGCCTTTTTGGACCTGGGCAGATGCTTCCATGATGGTCAGAAGCCATTTTGGAAGTGGGCAACACCAAACAATTTTAAAGGGGGAACTATAACCCCTGGAGAAGTGGCATTAAATATTATATGTGGATAGTTCTATCTCACGGTTTCTCAAGAAATGAGCGCTTTGAACCAGACAATTCTTGGCGGGGAGGGGGGAAAAGATAAAGAGCAGCATCCCTGGACTTTCTACCCACTGGATGCCTATAGTACTCCCCTCAAAATGTCTCCAGACATTACACATTGTCCTTTAGAAGAAAAAAGTCATCCTCAGTTGAGAATCACTGTTCTGTCTGAACTACAAACTAGGTTATGATTCAGTTACCTATGGTGGTGGTCTATTTTACATGAGTGTCATTTATTTTCGAAGCTAGCAATTTGAATTTGGGTTTGTAGATGAAAAAACTAGTAGATAATACCCAGACGACAACATTCTGCAAGTATAAAGTTAATTCTTTGAGTTTCAACCTAAGACACTACAGATCCGTGATTGAATGAAGAACCAAGTCAATTTACAGCTACTCACCAGCCTGAGTTTTCTGCACAGCTGTCTACGACTAGACCACATAGCTGGGTGAAGTTATTTAATACATCCTGAAAGCTTAGCCTCTGTCTTTCCTCTTGTGCACATCCAGCTTTTCAGATGCCTGCGACAACAGCTGTTCAAGAATCCTGGCTTAATCCATTCTCTACACATGTTGAGTCCAGAAGATGTGTGAGTCTGCAAACCAAAACAGGATGCAGGAGCATCAGGGTGGCACCCAGAGGCTCTTACTGTGGAATGTGTAGGAATTATGTAGTTATGGCTACATCACACATGGAGAGATGGACCAAAGACCAGAGCTTCTGAGACCCTCTCCCAGGACTTTGTATGCTTTCAGAAGTCTTGTGCAACTTAATCTTCTTTCTCGTCATCGTTTCACTATTATTGAACATCTCTCTTATTCATTAATTGAAAAACTCCACAATGGCTGCTTACCAAAGTACCTAAAGTCAAAATAGTACCTGGTCCATAATAGGCATCCAATATTTGCTAAATGGAGCTCATAGTTGTGTGAGGAATGAGTGAAGAAAACAAGATGAAGTCAGCTAAGCTGACTAAAAATAGAGTCTGTATAGTGAAACTGACAAAACTGATTCAGACCAAATGGGCCAAAGCATGAAGAATAGATTTTATTTTACTTTAACTAGCCTGAAGACTTTAATTTTTGAACTTCTTCTCAGTTGTGCATCAATGCCTGGGGATATATATATATATAAACACACACACACACACACACATACACACACACACACATATATCCATTCTATATACACATACATATATATATCCATACATACATATATCCATTCATACGTGTGTGTGTGTGTGTGTGTGTGTGTGTGTGTGTGTGTGTATCTCCTATAGATAACCCTCTGAACGACTAAGAAAAAATGTTCATGTGTCCAGACCTAACATCCATTATCCAGACAGCCTGACTTCTGGAAGATCACCATCTCAGATCAATTCAGAAGATAAGAATGCAGGACTGATTCTTCTCAAGGATGTACTTTTTACTATGAGAACTCTCAACTTTTCTCTTTTCTTTGGAACACTGAGTATTAACTAGTAGTGTTTTCTATTTGCAAATCCTAATACCCTTGAATAAATCTTTGTCACTTATTTGTAGTCAAAGCTTCCTAAGTCTTTTGTGTTCGGTAACATATAAGATACACACTATAAATATTCATTAGTATTAGAGCCACGTCTCTCCTTCACACTGATTGAACTCATCTCATTATGTTTATCTCACAACATCCTGTAAATTACTCTAGGTTATCTATTCTTATTCTCCCCCAAAAAAGTTGTGATTAAAGAATAATAGTAATACTAACAGGCCACTATTATTGAGGACTTACTACTATGCAACAAGCACACCACACTTTTCTGTAAGTTATTCCATTTGTCTTTAGCCAGATAGTTAATATTCAGCTTTGCAGGTCACATAAGAGTTTTGTTGATAGTCTTCTTCCTCTTCCTTTTTTTCTTGTAAAAGGGCCACTCCCTTTCATGACCCTTTAAAATTGTAAAAAGTTATTCTTAGGTAGGAGGCCATACAATAGCAAACCGAGGGTTAAAGGTAGATAACACATTATCTCCATTTTGCAGATAAGACTAAAACTGCAGCCTAAAGAAGCATCAAACATATTTGTTTTACTTATTTTATTGTAGGTCTACAGCAGTAGAACGTAAGCTACGTAAGAACAGCATATTTTTTCTTCTTTCCTCACTCATGGCTGTTTCTCCAGTGCCTGGAACAGTGTACGGAACATAGTAGGTACTCAATAAATATTTTTTGAGTAAAGGAATGAATCAATGAATGAACTGAACCAAAGTTATACTATACGACTTGACTATTGATTGCCTCAGGAAGCTTGTGGCTGCAGAGTCTGGTCACTAGATTTTGCTCCTTGCCCTGGTATTAATCAGTGCTAAGACAAAGCGAATCTCTTCTAGAGGGGAGGAAGACCCATTATGAAGACTTACAAGTATGACGTAAGAATCTGGGACACATATCTGCCCTCACTCAAGATGGAGACAAGGCAACGTGCCCTTTCCGGTCATATGACTGCTCGACGCCGAAGGGTGCCTCCCCGCGCGTGCGTGCTACGCCGCGGCTTCAGGCGCTGAGGGGAGAGGCGCCGCCGCCAGCGCCGCGGTGGGGACCCGTTAGAGCGGAAGCGCTTTTGCCGCCGCCACCGCCTTCGCTGTCCCGGGCCCCACGTACCGGGCAGGTAGGAGGCGGGAGCCATGTCGAAGCGGCTCCGAAGTAGCGAGGTGTGCGCTGACTGCAGCGGGCCGGGTGAGTTGCACCGGCCGGGCCCGCTCCCCTCAGCTCTCCTGACCCGAACCACTGCCCCGGGACCGCCCCCTTTGGTTCGGCGGTCCCGGCGGCCGAGCCCCGCACTCCATGCCCGAGGTCGCGACAAGGAGGAACTGAGGCGGCCTTGGGACGGGAGCCGTCTCAGCCCTGTCAGACGCAGGCGGGGAGGGGGCCGCCGCCCTCTCGTCCCTCTCTTCCCTCTTGTCCCCTCTGTCCCAGGCCGAGCAGGAAGGCGGCTGGTTCGGGGCCGGGGCTGGTACTTCAACGGGAGGGGCTTGGGCAATCCACAGGAAGGCCAATTACAGAAGTACAATGCGAGCGTCCTCCCGCCTGCGGCCCCCAGAGGCTGCAGGTGTCACCCTTCTCTCTCCCCCACCCCCCACCTCCCAGAGCCCCGCTCCACGAGGGGGCTCTGCCCAGAGTGAGCGACATTCGCCACTTCCCTCCACCGAAACGCGCCAGAGGACCCGTTAATGATTTCTCCGCTCCAGACATTTGGGCTCCTGCTCCACCGAGGAGTATTTCCAGGATGTCGGTGTCTTGTGAACGTAACCAGCACTTAGGAGGCAATGCATATGTCAAGTTTTGGGATCTGAAAGGCCTGAGTTCAAACTAGATTTTGCCTCTGGATGACCTTGGGCTGCTGACTTCGTTTGGCCAAGCCTTGGTTTCCTCAATTTTCCAATGGGGATAATTGGGAGAACCGCACTCAGGGGTTAGAAGATTCGATGAATATTCTAGGGATCATTTCATCTAAGTTTTTTTTTTTTTTTCCTCTGTATTGTGTTCTTCAGTACAGAACCTTTGCAGCGCTTTAAAGGTAGAGTTGAATTTCTAAATCACACACTAATTACAACTTACAAAACAAAACAAAAAAAGCAAAATCACTAGTAAATAGATACATTTTGGCATTGGGGCAGCATAGGCATATGGGGGCATTGAAAAGCCAAAAAACCATTCTTCCCATGTGTAATTTTCAAATTTAGAGTTCAGATCCATCTTAGCAATTGGAACTGAATTGACCAGTCTCTATGATATTTCCGGTGCTTGGATTTATCCTCTTTGAATTTGAAGTAATTCAAAGATAAGATGGCTTCCTTGGCACAATAGCGTCAATAAAAATCTTAATGAAATCTTTGAGCAGCAGTGTTTTTGCAACTATTCTGAACTTTATCTTGTCATATGAAAGTGGAGACTGATTTTAATACTGTGATAAATCAAACCTCATATGGTTATTTCATAGCCTGTATAGTGCCAGTGGGGTTACCAGTTTCCTTTGAAGATAGAAGGGTGGAGGAGTTTAAAAGAGGTGTTTTATAAACCAAGTTAGTGTGTGTAATACAAACTCCATCAATGCTCTAAAAACATTATTTGTTCCACTTCCTTATTTTCTTGCCTGTTTTCAGTTGAACTGTCTGTGATGTGTTTGATTCACATGAGTCTAGATTCAAACTTCCTCTTGGAATATGTATTCTTTACTTCTCAGTGGATGATTTGGAGCAAAGGAAAACTGGCTCCATTGCCACCCTAAATACTACTTGGCACTTCTGTAGCATTTTGTCTATTTCAGAGCATTTTCTCTTCCATCGTATCATTTTAGTTGTCTCATATGCCTAATCTACAAAGACTTGAGTCACTTCCTTCCTGTTTTGAGTGTAATTACACTACCTTGAAATGTTCTATGAAGTTGAGCAGCTAGGAATTTGTGCTGCTTTTTCTGTGAAGCCCTGGTGAAAGTTACTTTTAGGGTTAGGGGTCCCTTTGAGATTCCGATGAATGCTAAGGCCCTCTCCTCAGAAAATGTACAGGTACTGACTTTTCCATACGGAATTTATGTTAAGATTTCTCAGTGGGGTCACAGCCATTTCTGAAGCCTATTTGTTGTGTTCCTGGAGCCCAGGTTAAGCAGCCCTGGCATTAAACATTCAGATACACTGGAAGGGGTTCACCTAACCTAACGTCATTCATACAAACTCAATTTGGATTTTACTGTGCTGTTAACATTCTAATATTCTTTCCATAGGATTCTGATTTATGATATTAAGTGATTAATTGAGAATCTTACTTAATGTGTGTTAAATGCTTGCTGACTTCTTCGTGTTTAATTTCCTCTAAGAACATTGTGAATCCTCTAAATGATATGTGAAAACTCAAGTCTTTTTTTTTTTTTTGTCATCAGTAGTGGCACCATATTGCAAAAAAGAATGTTATGTATCTTTGTAGGGATCCTTCATCTTAATGTTTCCAATCTTTGCTTTTACAATGGCATAGTAGTACTAACAGAGTTGTACTTCATTGAATTATTTTGTTTCTGTTTTGTTTAACGTTTAACCATGATCACATTGTAGTAAATATTTGACTTTTTAAAAAAATAAATCTAGTTCATTTTAAATATATCCTGCTCTGTGTTTAAATACCTTAAAACTCCACTGTGATTTTCACTATAGTAATACAGTGTTCACATGAAACATTTGATATTTGAAGTATTAACAAGCAAAAACTTTCCAGTGGTCACTTTCACTGGGTCCTTGAAAATATTTGAATGGTACTTACAAATTAATTAAGTTATAACAGCTAACAATACTGAGTACTTAACTATATGCAAGCAACTTTACTTTTTAAATCCTGATTACCCTGAGATGTGTTATTATTCCCATTTGATCCATGGTGAGGATGTTCAAAAAAATAACTTGGCCTAAGATCACTGTGCGAAGTGGGAGACTTGGGGTTCAAACCTTGGACTGCTTGTTTCTAGAGCCAGTGTTCTTAACTACCACACTCTGTGACTCCTAGGATTTGTCTTTGATTGAAATCCCATAACTTTTCATTATATGGTTGGAAAGGGTTTAAATAAACTGTTTAAAATGGTAAAGATGGTATAGATGCATTTTAGAAATTTTTGTGGACATTGAAGAATTTTTAAACATAACCATTAGACCAGGCAGCTTGAGTGGCACCTATTATCACCCCATTGTGAATCTGATGAAATATAGGTCTATTTTTGTTTTGTTTTGCTTTTTGGTTTTGATTTTGATTTCTAAGTATTTAGTTTACTTACACAGTGAATTATTTTTGCTTATTAAGTGTAAATTATTCCTTGTTTTAATGGATATCAAATGAAGTTTTTATTTTATATCTTTGCTTCCGTGAAGCTGCTGTTATTACAGATCTGTTCTTCTAGATCAGTTGCAGTATTAGACTCAGTAGTTTCTTTACAACAGTAGATGTCCTAGAACATCCCCTAGTGGAAGACACCAGGTTTCCCAGTCTGTCTCCAGAACCACAGAAGCTGAGCAGTTTTACAGTTTCGTCACTTTGCAGCTTTCTGCTAAGCAGATAGGCATGTAGATTTGTAGCAGTCTTTTCACTATTTTCTTTAGATAATGCTATGTGGATTATTCAGTGTTGCGATTATATTACCTTGCTATTTGTGGAGATAGATTTAAAATGATTCATCTGTATCCTCCCAACTTTGCTTCTCTTAATTTGAATGAAAGAGCATACATCTGATATGGTAGATCCCATTAGGGCTTCAGACTGTGGCCCTGAACCAGAAAGGAGGTAACTGCTTACTTAGGACTTCAACTCATGTTTTTAGTCTCAGTTAACGTTGTACTGAATCAGCCAAGATAAGTGGGATCATCTGACAAGCTCACCAGTTTGGTATACTGAGTAGCATATCAAAACAACAAAAATGTCGTTTGTTTTTGTTTGTTTTTTCAAAAACCCTACCTCATTCATCTTTTACCATCTGGCAGTAAAGCATCTCATTGGTCCCCATCACTGAGATTTCATTCTTCTTTCAGATCCTTCCTGGGCATCAGTAAATAGGGGAACTTTTATATGTGACGAGTGCTGCAGTGTCCATCGGAGTCTAGGGCGCCATATCTCTCAAGTAAGGCATCTTAAACACACACCGTGGCCTCCAACATTGCTTCAGGTAAAGGATAAGAATTTTTCTCATGGTTTTTAATTTAAATTTTTAGGGCTCATTGTTTTAGCAACTAAAATTTTCCTATTCCTTAAATCTTACAAAAATGTTTGAATCATAACTAGATAGAGGTGCTGTGCCTATCAATGCTGTGTGTGTGTATCAGTAGATATCTATACAAATATATATTGAATTCATTATTTAGTATTTTGTTCCTAACATAAATCTCGTCACAATAGCTCGATTATAGAAAGAAAGAAAGAAATAGTAGTTAAAATTTCTTGGTACTGTTTCACTGCTGACTTTTTAGAATGTCTCCAGAAATTGTTTTTAAATAGTCCGTCTTTTCCACATGCTATGATGAATGTTTCTGAAAGTTACTGCCTTAGAAACTTTTCATTAATGTAATTATTCCTGAGTACCTGATAATATATTTAGAACATTTTTTTTTTCTTGCTTTGATAGAAACACGGACTGAGATTCCTCAGAAATTTCTGAAACATCTGATTTAAATTTTCTTAAAGTTCTCATTATTAGGTAGAGACCACAAATTCAGTTAACATGTTTTGATTGATTGCCTAACACTCTACTAAGTGTTAAGTGGGTTGTTTTTTTGGGGGTTCATTGTCATGTCACCTGTACTTCTATTTTGGGGTGCACATTCTTGAAGTTCTGTTGGAACTAAGAATTAAGCATGTGTTTCCCCTTCATTTGTCTTGAGTACATACTTTACTAAATCTATGGCAGCTGCACAACATGTCTCTTAAATATGCCTATACGAATGAAGGGACCAGAACAAGTAGGTTTGGGTTTCTAATGTGACAAAACTCCCGTGATGTAAAAAAACAGATGGAGCCATGTCAGGAGTCATGCTTTAAAATGAAATTGGGAGATATGGTTTATAAATAACTTTTGCTCACAAGTTTCTAACAGCTCATGCTCATATGAAAGTGGGTGTTTACTGCTCTCAAGTCTGTGTTTACAGATTTTATTATAGAATCTGAATAAAGTCCATAGATGAGTAGTTTTAAATGCCAGAGTTAACCCTAAAACAATTCCCAAAGTATAGCACATGTACCACCAGCGGTACTCAAGACAGATGTCAGTAATTTAGTTGTTGCATTATTTTAATGTATATATGACAACTGTTGCACCTCAAACCATAATTACTAGTAAAAGTGAATGGATTTAAAGAAAAATATTAAGTGAATAGACAGTATATAGCTGGTTAAGAACCTTGCAAATGGGTATTTGAATAATCAGTCTTAGAAAACACTGCCCTAAAGTGTCAAAGTACTCTTCTTTCATAATCTGTAAGAACAATATATTCCAGCCCATTTAGATATTTCATTGTCCTGCTGGTCAAACCTGAATCCTGTGTACAGGGTCATCTTTCACATTCTAAAATCAGAAAATAATGAAGTGCATGATATCCCAGTCTTGCCAGTGTTTGTAACAGGGCTTTGTTTTCCTAGTTACTAATTCCCACTGAATAATTGTGGAAAGAAATTTAAAATGATTTTATATTGTTTGGTTTTAGATGGTTGAAACCTTGTATAATAATGGTGCTAATTCTATATGGGAGCATTCTTTGCTGGACCCTGCCTCTATAATGAGTGGAAGACGTAAAGCTAATCCACAGGATAAAGTACAGTAAGTGGAATGTTTATAAATACTTTTATTTCTTCATAACACATGGGGTCCACTGAAAGGAGTGCAGCTATTTTTGACCAGCTTCCACAAGGGCAATACAGGAGGTGGTTACCCCAATTGTTCATTGATCTGTTTGTTATTAGGTGCAAAGACTGGGCACTGGACCATTCCTTTTGCATGGTTACCCAACATGAGTCAGTGGTTTCTCCAGTTTGAGATTAAGGCTTGGAGGCTTTTGATGTAAAAAGATTTAAGCTTGGGGACTCAAATAAGAGGCTGTTAGACTGGAAATCTAGGCTCTGGGCTCCAGTCTGCCTGATGCCTCACCTATAAGATGGGATGAAATGCTGCTTCCTCACAAGGTTACCAGGTCAATTAAGAAAATTACACAGAGAAGAAAGATGCTATAACAAGCAGTCATTCTGCAGTCCTGGCCATTGTAATGACTAATATATATTTTCAGATTGCTGGTTTAGCACAGCTGAAACTTATTTCAGTATTGTCCATTTTATTCTTGAGTGGGGATGTGGGTCACTTCCTCTTCTTTTTATAGTCTAAAGAATGGGGAATGTTGTATCTGAACTGCAAGTGAACTGTTTTTTGTTTTCCAACCAGTCCTAATAAAGCAGAATTCATCAGAGCCAAGTATCAGATGTTAGCATTTGTTCATCGCTTGCCCTGCCGGGATGATGATAGTGTGACTGCCAAAGATCTTAGTAAGGTGGGTCACACCTTTTAAAATCTCTAAAATTGCTGGATGAAACAGCATATTGTTTTGTTGGGTGGGGAAAAACTTTAAAAGGAAGAAAAGAAAAACAAAACAAAAACTATTCACTAAATAATTTATAACAGCTTTTTTTTGCAATTGGTTTTGTCTTTAATCTTACTTCAGATGGCAGCCATTCCTGTTAGCAAAGCTAAGGGCAAAGAGGAAAAATAAGTATTTAGAAAACAGTTTGTGTTTTTCAGACATGGTTTGAAAATTGTATTTCTGTAAGGTGTTTTTGTTGTTGTTGATTTTGAAATAGGAACCATCTCAGAGTTTCTTTCTAGAAGGGACTAGAAAGAAAGTTTGTGGGATTTCTTCAGGTTTCTAGGTTGCATACTAAGTAGGATCTTCAGGAAGCAGGGTGTGACTCAAAGCTGTAGTACACAGGATGATTTATTATACTTGTAAAATGAGTAGATGGCTTTATGTGGGCCTTTGCGTGTTCTTGAGAGATGCTACAAGAAATACACATTTTTATTTTCAAAGCACGGCTTTTGGCAGATGCTCACACAGAGCACTGGGCACTCACAGTTCAGAATTTTAAACTTTGCATAGAAATATATATTTCTTTGTTTCTCATTACTTCCATTTTTTGTTACTTCCATTACGGAATAAAATGTGGTATGTGTGTTTACCACAATTCTAAAAAATAAAATAACTGAAAAAAATAAGACTTAGATACAGATGTTAGGGTAAATTTCTTCATATATATGATAAAGGTTTTTGCATTTTCTACAATTCTAGGTTAGAATTAAAGGAAGGCAGATCATCTTCTGAATATATAAACACTTTTCTGCAATGGTACAGAATTTGGTATACTACAGGCCTGTTTCCCACCCAAAAAGACTTCATTAAAGCCTTATATACAAGGCTGACAAGCATAGTGTTGTGGTGGGGGTGTGGTATAAGGCAGAACCCTGTAATTTGCACAGTGTAGGATATAAAACCTTAAATCCCTAGATTCAGTAATAACAACAACAATAATAATAATAGCAGCTGTATTCTTTGAGCATTTCCTACGTACAAGCTCCATGCTAAGCACTTTGTTATATCATTGATTTCTTATAGTAATCCTGTGACTAGGTGGCATTATTATCACCATTTAGATATAATGAAACCGAAGTTCTGATTGCTTAAAGAACTCCCTCAAGGTCACATAGCTTGAAGGGTGTATGGTTTGAAATTCAGGTCTTTCAGACTTTAGAGCCGATCTCAGTCACCTCCTCATACTGCTTCTCATTCAGTGTCTAATTGTGCTACTTAGGTAGACTCCGCATTTGGGCAGGTCGACCTTACCCTGTTTTCCTTAACCATAAAATGGGCCTGACCCCGCCTTAGTGCCCAGGGCTGGTTGTGACCAACAAGAGAGAGACTGCTTCATGTACCTTACTGAGCTAAAGAAAGATTATGTGTAACTAACATAACATATTAAAATGGTCTGCCAGATGCTGTAGTACATCACTTTTTACATTTTTAACAATATTTTTTATTTGTGTGTTTTTCAGCAACTCCATTCAAGCGTGAGAACAGGGAATCTTGAAACCTGTTTGAGGCTGTTATCTTTAGGAGCACAAGCCAACTTTTTTCACCCCGTAAGAAAGCATGAATCAATCCACATATTAAATTGAAACTAAGTGGTTCTGTTTGTGTAGTCTTTTGTTTATTTACTTTGATTTTTTTTTTTTTTGGTCTGCTTTTTATTAATGATTCTTAGGAAAAAGGAAACACCCCGCTCCATGTTGCCTCCAAAGCAGGGCAGATTTTACAGGCAGAATTATTGGCAGTATATGGAGCAGACCCAGGCACACAAGATTCCAGTGGGAAAACTCCTGTTGATTATGCAAGGTAAGAGATCTAGATTCTTGTCTTTTCTCTCGGTTTGGGCTTATTTGTGTTGTGTATGATTCATTGTTAAGTGGCTAAATTGTGTAGGATTAACATTTAACCCCTTTAAAGATTTACATTTATTTTGCACATGACATTTCAGATGCATATGAGCTCAGAGCCTGGCAAAGTCAGAGAAAGTAGAACCATTAGCCAGTGTGCTTAGTTTCCAGTCTTTGATGTAATAATCCTTTATGATGTTGTGGAATTCGAGACAAGGAGTCTTAATCAAGTGTCAGTAATGGCAAAATCTCCTCATTTTTAAAATATTTTTAGTCATTGCTTATACTTAAAAACAAATCCGTATAGCTAGATAGATATGTGATAAAACAAATACAATAAAATGTTAATTGTAGGTTTTAGGTAGTAGACATCTAGGTACTTGCTGTAAAATTCTTTAAATTTTTCTTTGTTTAAAAAATTTGACTGTGAACTGCTAGAAAGGTGAATCAATAAATCTATAGGTTAGTCTTGAATATCATTTAAGTGACTGGATGAATCAAAGATAATTTTTCAAAATTATCTTCGTTAACTGCAAAGCACTATACTCTGCCCTACAAAAAATGAAATGGACAAAATGACAAAACTCTGCCCTCCCAGAATTTACTGTCTCATGGAGAAATGATTCATAAATGCATGAGAGTTTAATGAGGCAAGATAATGTAGAATTCATTGCCAAAATGGATAACTGGTCTTGAAGGGCGTATATTATATAGGGTTTCTTCATTGTGGCTCAAATCATTAAAAAATTTCTTTAGTTGGTCTCTGAAGAATGCGTTGAATTTGGGTGTATTTGGGAGGCATTCCATGTGAAAAGAAAGACATGAGTCAAGTTCAGGAGGGAGGGATGGGCAGCACATGTTCGCCACAGCAGAGGACCTGACTAGATAGTGCAGAGTGTGTCTGGGAATATGAGAGCTAAGGTGTTGACGAATACAGTTTTTCATCAGATCTAAGACTCCACTGTTTGTATGGGTCATCATTATTTCATATATCACTAAAAAAGAAAAAAACTTGACCAATTAAATGATGATGTGTCATCAATTGTAGGATGCTTCCTGATTCACAGATGTTAAAAAATGAGGAAAAAAGATGTGTGTCACAGAAATCAAAGATGTGTGGTAGGTTGGAGAATATTTTATAGTACCTTAAATGGTAGGAAGAAGAAAGAAACTGACAGAAACGACATCTTTTAAGAGGAAGAGAGCCCTCAGTAAATGATACTTATCACCTACTTTGGAATTTTTTCATGTGTACCTTGCATATAATTGTCTCTCAGCATAATAATATGTTTATGTGCCTTATTACTAAAAGGATTTCAAACAGCTTAGGTATTTAGTTCATGAACAAAGAGAGGGAAACAATATTTTCTGTTACAGAAATTGAAGATAAGGAGGTGAAAGTAGCTACAGGTATAGATTAGATTAGTCTGTCTCTCCCTGAATGGAAGACCTTGAAATGCTTACTCACCCAAAGTGAGGCTGGTCTTCAGAAGCATTTAGGAGAAGGTCATTCTTTAAAATTTTGATGTCCATAGTCATCCCATCCTTACTGATTCAGAATTTCCAAGAGTGGGGCTTAGATATCTGTATATTTTTTTAAAGCATCTAGTTAGTTTTTGAGAATTTCTACCCTAGAACATTTATTAAAGTAGTCTGTCTTATAAATTAATAAAGGAGAGGAAGTAATTCATATTGTGAAAACAATTTATAATTGTGGGAGTCAAAGTAGACCTTGACAATTTACCTCATACAAAAAGGTTGATGATTCTAAAAAGTCATATTTAATCAATCACTTAGATATCTCAGGAGATGTCTCTGTACTTTTCTATTCTAGAGCCAGTGAGTGGTGAGCAATACAAATGGTACTTTGTTTTCTCTTGGTAGGCAAGGAGGGCACCATGAGCTGGCAGAGCGTCTTGTAGAAATACAGTATGAGCTGACTGACAGACTAGCCTTCTATCTCTGTGGCAGGAAACCAGGTGAGTTAAAAGACAGAAGCCTCTCCACACTTTCAGTCAGTCAGTCTCTGGAAAAACAAGTTGGGGCACTGTCATTTTTGACCTCTACTTTAACATATCTTCAAAAAGATTGCAAATAAGGATTTCAATTTGAAATGACAGCATTTTCAGTTATATGTAAAAGATGTTGGTCAAATCTTGACTTTTAGTTTTTAAAACTTTATTTTAGCTCTAGAGTTGTGACTGTTTTAAGTATCAAAGAACATAATCGAACCAAAACTGAATGTGTATCACAGTTCTTGCGCATAATAGGACTAGAAACAGAAGAGCAAAGCAGTCACTACTGTAGTTACTTGAAGAATTCTGCTATCTAAGTAATGTAAAAATCCAAAAGTGAACTTTGCCATTAGCCACCTTTATTTCAGAGGTAGAACTGGGGTTGGCAAACCATGGTCTATGGGCCAAATCTAGCCTATCACCTGCTTTTTTAGTAAAGTTTTATTGCAGGATAGCCACACCCATTTCATGTTGTCTGTGGCTATTTTTGCACTACAGCAGCAGAGTCTAGTAGTTGAGTATTTGTGACAGAAACCATGTAGCCACAAAGCCTAAAATATTTACTGTCTGGCCCTTTACAGAAAAAGTTTACCAATCCCCGATGTAGAATATCCACATACATGTATGCAGTGGTTCTCCATCTTGGTTGTTCATAGAGTTAAGAGCCCCTGGTATGGTTCCATTTCCTGGTGAGATGGAGTAAGCACACCCCACTCTGTCTCTCCTGAAGACAATTAAAATCCCTGGACAAAAGGTATGGAGTAGCTATCTAAGGACTCTAGCTAGTGGTTTAGGGAACTCGAAGTACCATCAAGCTAGTGGTGAGTATCCTGTTTATTTTGCTTCTGATACGGCCTCCGCAATAGCCTGAAACTCGGAATTGCATCACAGATGTAAAGAAGCCTTCCTATTTTTCTGGTCTGAGAAGCAGGAAATGGAACTCCCACCAAACAGAGTAGGGGGAATCCCCTCGTTCTTTCTTTCTTCTTTCTTTTTCCCCTACCCTAGGCCCTAGGCAAACTTGTGGCTACAGTAGTGGCAACAGCAGTGGCATCACAGGTGCCTAAATCTCTGACCAAGAGCATGAGGGGAATCCTGACTGCTTTTCTTTTTCTCTTTATTCTCTCATCACTTGGCCTGGGAGGCAAAATCTAACCTGGTCAGTTTCCTGCTAAAACAAAAATATTAACAATCTCCATAGAATTTAAGGAAGACTCAGAGTCTCATAACATAATATTCAAAGTATCCAGGATACCATCAATAATTGTCATATGAAGAACCAAGAAAATCCCAAAGACTTGCAAGGGGAAAGGCAGTCAGTGGACGCCAACCCCAGATGACCAGGTGTTGGAATTATGAGACAAAGATTTAAAAGGCAGACAGTAACTTCATTCTTTAAGAAGTGTGAACATTCTTGAAACAAATAGAAATATAGAAAGTCTTGGCAGAGAAACAGAAGATATAGAGAAGAACCAAAGAGAAATATTAGAACTAAAAAATATAATAACCAGAATTTTAAAACTCACTGGATGAACTAAATTAGCAGATTGGAGATGACAAAGAAAAGAGCAAGTAAATTGAAAATAGCTCACTAGAAATTATCCAATTTGAGCAATAGAGAAGGAAAAAAGAATAGGAGGGGAAAAAACTGGACAGAGCCTCATGGACCTATGATCAGACAATATCAAAAGGTCACATTTGTATCAGACTCCCAGAAGAAGATCAGAAACTAGTGTGGTACAGAAAAAATATTTGAAGAAATATTGGCTAAAAACTCTAAATTTGACAGAAAACAAACTTACAGATTCAAGAAGCTCAGAGAATTCCAAACCAGATAAACTCAAAGAAATTCTCAATCAGACACATCAAATTCAGACTGCTGAAAACCAAAGATAAACATCTTGAAAACAGCCAAGGTAAAAAATGACATATAACATACAGAAGAACCATTATTTGACTGACTGGATTTCTTATTAGAAGCTATGGAGATGAAAAGGAAGTAAAACAGAACTCCGTTTTCATTGAAAATAGACTTCAGGAATGAAGGTAAAGACATTTTAAGATGAAAAGTAAGAATCAGTTGCTCTAAGAAAAATGCTAAAGAAAGTTTTTTTGGGTGGAAGGGAAATGATACCGGAGGGAACCTTGGAACTTCAGGAACAAAAGAAGAGCAACAGTAGTGATAAGTATCTGGATAAATGTAACACTGTGTTTTCCTCTTAAATTCTTTAAGATATGTTTGAAAGTTTGAAGTAAAAGTTAAAATTGGTCAGGTTTTTAGCATATGTCAATGTTACACATTTGATAACTACAACATAAAAGGTGAAAGAAATATGGAGGTAAGATTGCATTCTTAAAATGGTAAAATGTTATTTCCAAGTAAGTTGTAAAAACTTATGTATATTATAATCCCTAGCACAAACACTAAGACTGTACAATGATATATCATCAAAAACTCTAGAGATAAGTTAAAATGGAATATTAAAAGTTACTCAAGTAATCAAAAGATATTTTGATACAAAATATTAAAAGAGAGGAACAAAAAACTGAAGCCCAAACAGAAAATAATAACATTATAGACTTAAGTCCAAACATATCAATAATTACATTAAATATTAATCATCTAAACATACCAATTAAAAGCAGAGATTGTCAGAATGGATTTAAAACAAAAAACAAGCCATAACTATATGCAGTCTACAAGAAACCCACTTTAAATGTAATGATATAGTTAAGCTAAAAACAAAAAGTTATAAAAACATATACCATGCAAAACACTAAGAAAGAGTGGCTAATATCAAACAAAATGGACTTCAGAACAAAGAAAATTAACAAGGATAGAGAAGTATATAACATGGTGATAAAAGAATCAGTTCACCAAGAAATAACAATTCTAAATGTGTTCACATTCAGCAACAGAGCTTCAAAAAATACATGAAGCAAACTGATAGAAAAAAGAGAAAAGGTCAAATCCACAATTATTATCGGAGACTTAAAAGTCCTCATTTAGTAATAGTAAGAGAAATCAGCAAGGATATTTAACTGAAACTAAATCATCAGCCAACTGCATTTAGTTGACATCTATAGCATACTCTACCCAACATCATTTCTTTAAAATACACATTGAACATTCACCAAGTTAGACCACATCCTGGGTCATAAAAGAAACCTTAGCAAATCTAAAAGAATTAAAATTCTGCAAAGTGTATTCTCTAACCGTAATGGAATTAAGTTTATTTTTATTAGGAAAATACCTACATGCCTACATGCTTGAAAATTAAAAAACATACTTCTAAATAATCCATGGGTCTAAGAAGATAAATTCTTACATTAGGAAAAAAGGTCTGAAATCTTTGTGTCCCCCTTAAGAAACTAGAAAAAGATGAGCAAAAGAAACCCTAAGCAGGCAGAAAGCCAGAAATAATAAAGATAAGAGCAGAAATCAATGAAATTGAAAAAAAAAATGCATCAAACAAAAAGCTGATTCTTCAAAAAAAATAAGCAAAATTGGTAAATGTCTAGCCATACTGCAAAGAAAAAAGGAAAGAATACACAGAGTAGGATATTACTACAAACCCCACAGACATTAACAGGTAATGCAAAAATATTAAAAGTAACTCTGTGCACGTAAATCGAAGAACTTAGATAAAATGAACCAATTCCTTGAAAGCCACAAAACTACCAACACCTACCTAAGAAGAAAGAAATACTGTAAATATATAATCCTATGTTTTAAAGAATTTGAATTTGTTCTTAAAAACATTACATTAAAACCCTAGCCCAGATGATTTCACTGGTGAAGACTGAACAGACTGAAGTGATGTTTCTATATAGCAATACAATAAATATGGTTTATGACTCGCATGGTTTGCTGGGTTTGCAATTATGATTCTTAATGCATATTTTTAAGTGTTTGGAATTCACATTTTAGGTTTTTACATAACAGACTATTCTATCAAAATTTGAAAAATAAATAACATCAGTTCTACAAGATATTTTTTAGAAAATAGAAAGGGAAGGAGCACTTCTCAAGTCATTTTGTTAGGCCAGCATTACCCTGATACTAAATCCAAGAAATGCAGCACAAAAAAGTAATCCTTGTAAACAAACACCAAAATCCTCAACAAAATGTTAGCAGATTGAATCCAACAATATATAAAAAGAAAAATACAACATACAAATGGGCTTTGCAGATATGTAAGAGTGATTAAATATTTGAGAATCATTTATAATGTAATTATAATCTGTCACATTAACAGACAAAAAGAACACTATATAATCTTACCAGTTGATGCAGAAAAAGCATTTAACAAAATTCGACACCACTTCATGATTAAAAAAAAAAAAAAACTTAGCAAACCAGAAATAGAAGGGACTTCTTTTAATCTGATAGAGAGTATCTCTAGAAATCTACAGCTAACTTCATCCTTAATTATGAAAATTGAGTGCTTTTGCCCAAAGATCAGGAACAAAGGTAGGAAGTCCACTCTTAACTTTGACCTGGAAATCCTAACTAGTGCCATAAGACAAGAAAATAAATGAGAGATATACAGATTGAAAAGGAAGAAATAAGACTGCTCCTATTCATAAATGAGATGATTCCTATGTAAAAAATTCTAAGGAATCTATGGTAAAGTTTCTAGAACTAATTGTGTTTAGCAAGGTTGCAGAATACAAAGTGGATAAAGGTCAATCATATTTCTACAGACTAACTGGACAATTGGAAATTGAAACAAAAATAATACCATTTACAGTAGCTCCAGATCAAATACTTAGGTATAAACCTAACAAAATATGAATGGGATATATATGCTGATGTATATATATGTGGTTAATATGTACAAAATGCTGATGAAATCAAGGAGGACCTGAATAAGTGGAGAGATACACTGTGTTTATGGATTGGAAGACTCAGTATAGTTAAGATATCAATTTTCTGCAAATTAATTTGTGAATCTAATGCAATTCAGGAATTTATTATCGATGTTATTCTGAAATTCTTATGGAAAGCAAAGGAACTAGAATAGCCAAGACAGTTTTGCAAAAGAATAATAATAACATGGGAGGACTCACACCACCCAATTTTAAGATTTGCTATAAAGTTCTACTGTACTCAAGACAGTGTGGTTATGGTGAAGAGACAGACATAGATCAATGGAACAGTATAGGAGTCCAGAAATAAAACCACATAATTATATTCAATTGATTTTTTGACAAAGATGCAAAGGCAATTTAATGCAGAAAGGATAGTCTTTTCAATATATGGTGTTGGAACAACTGGACGTCCATGTGCAGAAAAAATGAACTTCAACCTCGCATCTTCTAGAAAAACTCAAAATAGATCATAGATCTAAATGTAAAACATAAGACTATGAAACTGGAAGAAAACACAGGAGAAACTGTGATCTTGGATTAGATAAAGTACTTGAATGAAGCACCAGAAGCATAAGCCATAGAAGAAGATATTGATACGTTGGACTTTGTCAAAATTTAAAACTTTGGCCCTGCAAAAACTGCAGTTAAGGTAATGAAGAGCCACAGACTGGGAGAAAATATTTGGAAATCACACATCCAACAAAGGACTGGGATCCAGAATATTTATACTTAAATACTTAAAAACTCAGCAGTAAGAAAACCCATTAAAAACTGGGCAAAGACAATATACAGTTGGCAAATAAATAAGCACATGAAGAGAGAAATTCAGCACCATTAGCCATTGGGGAAGGGCAAATTAAAACTACAACGAGATACCACTGCATACCTATTAGAATTACTAAAACTAAAAAACAAAAAACCTGACAATTCAAGTGCTGAGGGAGATGGTGGAAACTGACATTCATTGCTGGATAGAAAACAAAACGATTGAGTCACTCTGGAAAAAAGTCTAGCAGTTTCTTACTAAGTTAAACATACATTTACTTATAAACCAGCGATCTCATGCCTAGGTGTTTAACCAAGAGAAATAAAGATATGTTTACACAGAAACCTAAACATGAATGCATATATTGGCTTTATTCATTGGTTTGTGATTAGTGTTCTCCAGAGCTAGATTAGGACTGAGTCAGCTAGCATTTTAGGAAACTGAGCCTCTGCCTGGATCTGCCAAGACCACTGCCCCAGCCCTGACTGTTTTATACTAGTTGATTAATTTGAAGGTGAGCCACCAAATCTCAAGGAAGCTCCACTCATCTCACATAGAGAGTTAATAGAAGCCTGCTGTGAGCTAATTCAACTCCATAAATGTTCTTTTCATGGCTGAAGATCATCAGTTACACTGGGGATGAGCAAAGTGTAAGGATTAGGATGAGCATAGGCTTTCTGCCTAATGATGTGTGGACCTTTGTATCAGAAGAAAATGAAGATATGATCCTTGCTACTGTCCAGGTCTTCTGGAATTTGAAGCCAATCAGGCAACTTCTGTTCTCTCACATAATTCATAATTATGGGAAGATACTAACTGAGAAAATAATGGTGGTATTCTTTTATAGATCTTATCAATATATCAACAAAACTTTGGCTTGGTTTCTGTTTCAGATCACAAAAATGGACAGCACTTTATAATACCTCAAATGGCAGAGAGGTAAGGTCATTGAAATACTGATCGATTTTATTTGTCACTAGTATTTCCTTGGTTGTATAGTGTTTAAGTGTATTATATTTTGTGTTTAACAAAGCCCATACATTTTTCTCTTTTATGGCTATACAATATGGAAATAAGACGGCTGTAAGTAAACCACCATGTAAAAACTTAAGTTTGAAAGAGCACAAGTAACAAATTTATTAATAAGGAAATGGGAGTCAATGATATTGTCATAGTTTTAACCAGTTTGTGACAGTATATTGTGTCTATAGATTATATTCACAGAATATTTCTGTATTATAAAAGAGTATATTCTTAGTCTGACAGGGATCTGCAAGTTTTATTTGTTGTTGTTAAAGGCTGGATAATAAATATTTTAGGCTTTGTGGGCCATACAGCCTCTGCCACAACTGTTCAGCTCTACTGTTGAAAGCATCCATGGATGCTGTGTAAATGAAGGGCATTTTTATTCCAATAAAATTTTATTTTTGGATACAGAAGTTTGATTTTACATAATTTACACAAGTTATAAAGTATTATTTTTCCTTTTATCCCCAGCCATTTAAAAATGTAAACACTATTCTTAGCTCATGGGATGAACACAAAGTGGGCTATAATCTGCCGACCCCTGGTCTGTAAGGTCAGATGAATTCATGGCTGTAGGAATGAACCTTTAATCTTGCCAATTCTTTGTACAAATACTGTCAAGAGTTTAAGAAATGATTAATTGCTATTCCAGGTGTAATCTTGCCATTCTGGTTTTTCACATTCTGCCCTTTCTGTATTTTCTTCTATTATGCTTTTTTTAACACATCAAAAATTGTGATTTTTCACACCAAGGGCCAGGGGACTAACCTAGCAGTAGTTTTTGTCTTTTAGTAGGTGATTATTTTTCTTTTTACCATGTTACATGATTATGGCATTTCTAGAAGGAGTTACTTTCACCAAGTTGTTATAGTTAAAGTGTTCTCACTGACTCTATTGGGTTTTAGAATTTGGGGCTCTAACCATGTCCATGAACTATAATTAATATCATGATCCCTTGGCTATCTTAATCTTCTGTAGAGCTCACGAAAATGATTTTCTTTGCTTATTAGTTTTGTACATTTTCTTAGCAGCCTGGATTTGTCTGAATTGGCAAAAGCTGCTAAGAAGAAACTTCAATCTGTGAGTATCTCTGTTTCCTAGTGAACTCCAGTATTGTAAATGTATCCTGCTAAATACCTGTTCTCAGCTGGTTACCTATTGTATCAGATGACTCTGTTTCATACTCTTAGATGTTGTTAAATCAAAAGCAGACCATTGAGTATGTAGCAGTGAAGACTGGAAGTGCTATTAAGTTTAGAATATCCAGTTTATTGGCTCTGCTTCAAATGCCATTTTTTTCTGTCATTTTAAATGCCTTTGACATTAGGAAGTTTCTCTTTGTAAGAGTTCCTTGTTTTTTCCCAATGTAAATGAGTAAGTGGGACACTTCTTGGGATTACTTCCTGTGGCCTTAGAGGATGCTAAAGAATGATAAAAGCTGTTGCTGGAATGGTGAGTACCATAGATTTACTTGCTGCCATTGGAATCCAGCCACCGTTGTAATTCTCTCTCATATCCCATGCCATTTATCAGAGCTTTGTAAATGTGTGCTTCAGAAAGCTGATGGTCCTGCCCAAGGGTATGTGCTCAGAGTTTGCCAAGTTCTACAGGTCAAACCTCACTTTAATCTGAATTTTTCTTTCCAGGCTGCCCACCTCACCCTTAGTCAGGAATCTGGGAATGCTTTCTCTTAGTCCCCACAAATGAAGCCTCACCAGGGCACTTCCCCAGCTGTTTTCACCACCAGATTACACTCCTCAGCTGTTCTCATTGCTCTTGGGATCAGAACCAAGATTCTTCTTTTTGTAACGTTTAATGGCGTTATCCAACTCTCACCTTTTCATTCTTGCCCTACTTCCCATCTGGTTCCCATTGTGTGTGTGTGTATATGTGCTTAAATATTTCATTATGGATTAGCCCCTGTCTGAAGCTATGAGCTGCCACCTTCAAGTCCTCTTTCAGGAATCTTTTTTTGCCTGCAGTATTCTCTTTTCCCACCTCCATCCCTTTCATCATTCAAGCAGCCAAAATCTGACCACCTTCACAATGTAGGTAGTTTTCCCAAAGCACTGCTGAAATTGCAGCTCCTAAAAATTGTGACTTTTTCTTCATTCCCCTTTTCACTGGAGACCCTTTATTAGAATGGCATATAAAGTACTAAATATTACAGAAAATGAATTTATCATTACTAGTATTTAACTGTAATATGAAATAAATGTATTTTATGCAATTTGTTTGGTGTCCCTGTGTTCTATATCTACGGTTTTATGTGTCTGTGTTTTATTGCCTTTCTTAAATTAAGGAGGTCATGTAGTAAGATGATTAAGATGATAAGCTTTGGAGTCAGATAGCACTAAATATTCTGTGATTTCCTTTTAGTTACTTATAGTATGTAATCCAATTTTTATTTTAATTCCAACATTGTAAATAAAACCCAAGCTCCCTTTGACTATCCTATATTTGCTAGGCTGAAAGCTACATGAAAGCCGGGATTGCATCTGTAATAGCTCTGGCATATGGCAATATCTAGCATGTGGCAGGCACTAGATAAATATCTGGAACAAAGTTGAGTACAGCTCTCAAGAACTTGGGCTCTGGGTCAAACTGGTCAGGTATAGATCTTGGCCCTGACAAGCTAAGAAGCCCTTTCTGTGGCTTGGTGTCCTCCTAGGAAGGTAGGTAATGATCCAGCAAGGGTTGCAGATCAGACCTGCTCGGTGAGGGTGAGCTGCTGTTGTTGCTGACCACCTTGTGGTCTCCTTAAAGGTGAGAATGAGAATGACCTCACAGCTCTTATCGGTGCCAAGTCAGTGTTTATCCTACAATATCTCCATTTCTACCGTCCTCCTTTCCTTCCTGCCTTCCTTCTTCCCTTTGTTTCTCCCTCCCCCCTTTCTCCTCCCTAATGAAAAGCTGAAAGAAATATAATAAGACTAATATAGTCCTTGAATTAGCAAACTTGATTAACATTTTGAGAGACTTAAACTTGGATCTCACATCCATCGTTTATTGGCTTTGTGATTAGGCAAGCTGTGAACTTCTGTGCCTCAATTTCCTTGTCTGTAAGTGAGAATAGTTTCTATCTTCATAGAGGTATTGTGAGTATTAAATATGATATTAGCATAGTGTCTGGAATGTAAGCCTGCAATCAGTATTGCTGTTGTAGTTATTGTTAGTAATAACAACATTAGCTTATAGCCCCTAAGAGGAAAGAGACGGTATTTATGATGCAGGTTCAAGTTTCCAGTCCTTCATCACCTTATCCAGCAAATGGCTCTCAGAGTTTATTTTTAGTTATAAACATAATATAACTACACTAGAGAAAATTTGGAGAATAGAAAAAGGGAATTATCCTTATTCGCTATATTTATAATGGAGTCAGACTCAATATTCTAATTCTTGTTTCAGATGCATATCTTTTTTTAAAACTGAAGTTCAGTCATAATTATAGAATTTTATATCCTGCTTTTTTTCACCCAACAATGTGTTTTATCCATTTTAACGTGTTCCTGAGAGGTCTGGGTAGCCAGCATTTAAAATTGCTACATAAAATACCTTGTGGTCAGTGTGTGAGTGGATATGTACTGAGCCCCACCTCAGTGCCAGGTACTGTGTGTGTATGTGTGGAACACAGTAGAGAATAGAACAGATTCAGTGTCTACCCTCACAGAATGGGAAAGCAGTCAACTAAAAAGTAACAGCCACCAAGTATCAACGTGCATTTTATGAGGAAAAAAGCACAGAGGGAGCCGGAGCCACCCTGGCAGGGGTTTGGCCTCATCTGAATTGAGGAAGACCTTGACTACCCTATCCATCCCGGCTGCTGCCAGGCAGGCACCCAGTCTGTGTGGGGATTGTTTTGTTGGGTGACCCTGCTCAACGTACTGAATAGACAGGGTTTCTTTTGTTGGGGATGCTCAGTTCTGGGGATTGAGGACTGCTACTGAGGAAGAAGGGATCAAAGAGGCTTACATCTGGATGATGTTTTCATACAATAGCATGTTCTAGCCTCTCAAAATGGCATGTTTGGCATTTTTATCCTGCCAAAAGTTTAAGATCCCCTATACTTGGAGGAACTGGCAAACATTCTCAAGAGCAGAGCATCTTAAAGGGTTGATACCACATAAAGAGAACTGAAGCCTGTGTTTGGGATATGCACTTTAGATGTCTCTTATTTGAGTACCATCGAGGAGTAAGGTTGCTGTGGGAGGCGGGTATTTGTAGGGAATCTGCACTGTATTGGAAATGTTATTGTCTGTGTAACAATGGGTATTTACTAATAAGCACTGGCTTTGGATGAGACATTGGAGATAAAGGGGTGAATAAGTCACAGTCCCCACTCATTCTGCTAATCCTTGTCCCTTGTGTTCCTGATATTTTTTACTTTCAGCTAAGTAATCATTTGTTTGAAGAACTTGCCATGGATGTGTACGATGAAGTTGACAGGCGAGAGACTGATGCAGGTGACTTAACATGTGGCTTTATCTAATAAGCTTCTGTTATCAGTGGGCAGTGACAAGCTGCCAGCCTCAGTGTTTTACTTCCCCAATTTCTTCTGTCCTGATAACATGTGTGTGGACGTTTGCTTTTGTATACGTTGGCTTCAGAGTGTGCTTTCCTGAGTTTTCCTAGTAAGGCGGGGACCGCGGCTCTCAGAGGAGCAGTGGCACACCCGTGGTGATGAGATTCTATCTCTGGCTCTTTCCTCTGGCTAGTCTGGCTTGCCACGCAAAACCACAGCACCCTGGTGACTGAGACAACCGTCGTCCCCTTCCTTCCGGTCAATCCCGAGTATTCATCGACACGGAACCAGGCAAGTGGCTGAGTCTAAAAAGTAACTAGTAGTGGTATTTTGAGAATAGCTGATATTTTGGTATTTTATTTTCCCAGAACATATCTTTTACATTTTTTGATTGATTGAAATGTTAATATCCTTTATAGATACCCACAAAGCTCAGAAATTGATAAGAAAAGCAGTAGATGTGAATAGATGACTGGGCAAAAACATAAAACAATTCACAGAGGAAGTATAAATAGCTTTCAAATGTGAAGAAATGTTTAACCTCTTAGTAATCAAAGAAAGCAACCTAAAGGCATTAATGAAAGTTTCATCAATCAAATTAATAAAGTATGTAGTAAAGGATACTCTAAGCTGGTAAGGATGTGGCAAGACGGGCTCTCCTATGCTGCAGATAAGAGTTTAAATTGCTGCAGATTTCAGAAGAGCAATTCGTTAACTGGTTTCAGAAGGCTCAAAATTAAGCGTAGCTTTCACATGGGAATTATTTGGGATTATGTTCTAGTAAAATAAAAATGCTGAGATTCATGCACAGTGATTTTTATCAAAGCTCTGTGTATAATAATAGAGCATTAAAAACAGCCTAAGCATCCATCAAGAGTAGAAAAGGTGAGTAAATTAGGAAGATCTTTTAATTTTTATTGATTAATAGTTATATATAATGATGGAGTCCCAGCATCTAGAATATAACTTTGTTTATCTTGGAATTTTAAAATTTCCATCCAAATTAATTTTTCATTACTAAGTCTGCTTCAAAACTGAATTGATGTTAGGAAAAAAATCATTAAGTGGAACCATTTTGTTTCTGCTCCCAAAAATAAATATGCATTGTGAGAACTTAAATGTTATATTGTTCTCTTATGTAAATGGTTTTAAACCGTTTGCAAGGAAAGTGGTAATGTTTAATTTAGTTATAGCTATGATTGCTAATATCTTAATCATGCTGAAAGTTCTTTGCTAAAGCCTAACAATAGTACGACTAGTTTTATGTGAATATTTATGTATGTGTTTTTAAATTTGGAAATATTTCCAATTATGTTCTTGCCCTCAGGGCAGACAGAAATTAGCTCGGTTTAATGCCCATGAATTTGCCACGCTGGTTATCGACATTCTCAGTGATGCCAAGAGGAGACAGCAGGGCAGTCCTCTCTCTAGTTCAAAAGGTAACTGTTTCGGACCTCTAAATGTTTCTTTGGCCTTAATAAACTTTACACAAGTGTTAGATTTAAAGTTATAAAATTAAAGCAGTCATCAATACAACAGCTTAGATAAAGCCCTGTAAGTTTTACCAGTAATATATTGTGACAAAAAGTTTGTGCTCTTTGAGCACTGGTAAATTGTAAATATTTCAGTGTTATTGACTGCTATTCAGATTTATATATGATTTTTTTCTTCTTGGGTCATCTATCTTCCCTATAAAATTGGCATTCTGAAAAGAACCCAAAAGTCTGACTTAGATTTTATTAAAGTACATAAGAAAATAAACCCTCTTGAATGAAATTAGTTGCTTACCTACAAACATGCGTTCTAAATATTAACGTCTATAAACTTTATATGTCTACAGTGAGAGTTATTGTGGTTTAGAATTGTAAAGAGAGCACCAAGTGCCTATTTCTGAGATGCCCTGTTGAGTCTAAATCAATAGGTCAGGGGCCTGTTTCCATGCTTAAGAACACACTTCCTCCCCAGCCCCAATACTATATTCTTACTGGTTCTTTTTTTCTTTTTTTTTTTTTTTTAATTAAGAATACATTTTTTATTATAAAGCTTTTAAACCATAAAATTAAGTTTTTGGTCAATGTCACATTTGTCAAAGACAGTAAAGAATCATTAACTGACAACAATTTGTTGTTCTTGATTTTACTGGTTCAACCAGAAATAAATAAGTTCTAGAAAAGTCTATAAAATTTTGGTGAAGGTGCAATGATGAGAGTCTTTTCATAAATTTGGAATCTCAAAGTACACATACTCTTTGATTTGGTGGTTCCATTTCTAGGCATTGAGGAGAAATAATCAGAGGTGGTTTACTACATATATATATATATGTATAACACTGAAAACATTAGAAAATGATAATAGAGCAATGCTTAGTCACATATTTGAATAGTACACAGACTTTCAGAGAATATGTAATGACACAGTATAAAGTAATTTTTTTAATATACTACTAGTTTTGTAAGGAAAACATTTATATACATACATATGTACAAGTGACTATACCACATGAAGTATAAATATACAATCAGTCCTCATTCACCCATCCCATATTTGCAAATTTACCTACTCATTAAAATGTATTTGTAACCCCAAAATCAGTCCTCGCAGCACTTTCATGGTAATTTATGGAAAATTTGAGTCACCTAAAACACATACCCGGTTGAGACTGAACAAGACAAAACTCTGCCTTTTGTTTTAACTCTTGTATTGTAAACAGTGTCCTTTTTGATGTCTATTTAGTGCCACATTTTCCACATATGTGTGCTTTTTGTTAGTGATTTTACTGTTTAAAATGACCCCCAAGTATAGTGCTGAAATGCTATCTAGGGTTGCTAAGAACAAGAAGGCTGCGACGTGCCTTATGGAGAAGATACATGTGTTAGATAGGCATGAGTTACAGTGCTATTGGCCTTGAGTTGGCTATTAATGAATCAACTATATATATATGTATAAAAGGATCTCTGAACAGAAACACATAAAACAAGGTTATACATTGATCATTTGACCAAAATATTGGGACCTGAGGCTCGCAGGAACCTAAACCTGTGCTTCCACTCAGAACATGGTTTAATATTTGCTAATTCAGCCTTCACAGTAACTTTATAGACCATAACTACTGAAAATAATGAGTATATGTATATGCTTAGGAAAAAGACTGGAAGGAAATAGAAAAACATATACTAACGGCTATGAATGATTATCATTAATTTCACAGTTTCTATATTGAATCTTTATAATCAAATACATGTCCTTTAAATACTAATTTTAAAGATTAAAATCTCTTTTAAGTATCCCATATTTATCCCATATAGTATCCATCAAAATATCCAGAAACAATATTGAAGGCCAGAGGGTAGCTTATGTGGCCTAAAATTAATTGGAGAGACTTGGATAATTTGCGAAATCTTTTATTCAAAATATGTTAAAGCCTATAGAATCACCCCTGCTCCCCTGTGGACCATACCTTCCTGATATGCGTGCGTGCATGCGTGCGTGCATGCGTCCACTAGGGGTCATTTCTCCCTCCTCCTCCTCGTCTCCCTCCCCCTTCCCTCCCCTTCTCCCCTCTCTTTCACTGGCATTCAGCTGAGTAAATACCAAAATGCCTGTTCTTTGAATACCTAGTTTCTAAGCTAAACTTTAATAATTTCCTTTCTATTTTGATTTGATATTACCACGTAAACAAGTTACAGTTATAATTGACTCATAGTTGATCTTGTATTAATATAGATTTAACTTTAGGATTTGGAGCTACACACTATCTCACTGAATGATTAGAAACTTGAGAACCTATCTCCTTAACCTGAGAAGTTATTTCCTAAACCATCTAATTAATTTGCCCACATTTAGTGAGTAGCTCAGAGGGATGCTTAAAACTCTATGCAGTTTATAGTAGGCTAGTTGATTTATAACTTGCAGTGTTATCTCTATATTAGTGTGAATATAACATTGTTATTTCTGTCATTTTCTTTTCATCTTTTAAGTTACTAAACCCAAAAATCCTCCCAACAGTTTTTTTTGGGGAAAGGAGAGTTTATTTAAGCCCTAAGTAAAGTTATTTGCTTCTATTGATAGACAATGTGGAGCTCATACTGAAAACAATCAATAACCAGCACACTATTGAGAGTCAAGACAATGATCAGCCGGACTATGACAGCGTGGCATCAGACGAAGACACAGATCTGGAAGCCACTGCAAGCAAGGCAAACAGACAGAAGGTGAGGTCACACACAGAAAGGGAGATTATGTTTCTTTTAAAAATCTTTCCTCCTGCAAAACTACCTTAATTATAAATCACTTGAGGACTAGCCCTGTGAAAAGTGCAAGTTGAGTTTACTACAAGCTTGGACCAAGCAAAGGTTAAACAAAGTAAATAGTTTTAAAAGGAGGTCCTTTGTCCCTGAGTCAGTCAGTTGCTGAATCACAGCCCTGCTGCAATTGTGACTTCAAAAAACTTGCAAGGAAGGAATGGTTTCTTTTATTCTTTCAGCAAATGTTTACTGAGTGACTTCTCTGGATGATATTCTCCTGAATGAGGTCTAGTCCCTTCCCCATGAGGCTGTCACTGCCTAATAGAGATATCTGCTATAAAAGGTACACAGTGACATGTGTCATAAGAAGCACAAACAGCAGAGGGGTGAGAGTGCAAAGAGATAATTTGTTTCTAAGGAGGAATATGTGGAGGCTTTGTAAATGAGATATCTTAAAGGATACATGGGTTTCTTAAAGGATACATGGGTTTGGGCATGTGGAGAGGCAGGGAAGGGTGGTCTGGGCAAAGGGAAGGTGAATCAGGGGTGTTTGGGGGAAAACCTGGTCCTGTGTAGAGATAGCTTAAAAGGAACAGGACTCAAAGCTGCATCAGAGGATGGGTCACACCATAGAGGAACATGACTCCAGACTGAAGAGTGTGGACCTCGGCAGGCAATGCAGAGCCCAGGAGGCTTTTAGACAGGGCAGGAGGGGATGGTCAGCCATTCTGGGTCAATATAGGAAGGAAATCCAGTTAGGGGACTGCTGAAGAGCCAACCCAGGCCACTTAAGGGCTTGAACTGAGAGGTCCAGATAGGAGAGAGGTGACCGTAGCAGAATGTAAGCCTGAGGAGAGGGCAGAAGGGGTCTGGCTGGACCGCCCAGTGCTGAATTTCCAGGACTTTGGCCTAGACCCAGCCCACAGAGGGGCTCAGCAAACATTTGAGAATAGATGAACAGGAAGATAGAATAGACAGGCTCTGGCAATAAGTTGGATGTTTCAAGTGGGGAGATAGATGTGTCCAGAGATTTCCAGCTCACATGACTAGGGAAATAATGGTGGCATTTGCAGATGAAGGGAATGCGGAGGGGATGGCAAGAGCCACTTGTCTGAAACGACCCTGCCCAGTCTACCCAGAAGCACCAGGTTCACTGGGTAAAAGCGAAAGTCATGACAGGACCCTATATTGATGGGGTTGTCTGTGGACTGACAGGCCGCTGCCGCCTCTTCTCCACCTTGCACACCCGCTCCCTCTAGCTGAGCTCTGCCGCTGGCTGGAACATTCTTCCTCTAGAAAGCCATTTGACTAATGTCCTCACCTCCTTTAGGCTGTTGCTCACATCTCATCTACCAAAAGGCTTACCCCATCTGTCTAATTAAAATGTACTCACCTTCAGTGTTACTTCAGCTCCCCAGCCCCTTATCCTGCTCCATTTTCTCTATTTCTCACAGTACTTATCACTTTCTCTCATACCATATAGTTATTTTTGCTTTTTCCCTCCCTCATTGTTGGATATAAATGCCATGGAACAGAAGTAGTTGTCTCTTTTCTTGTATATCCCAAGCCCCTATAACACTGCCTGATGCACAGTAAAAATCTGTTGGAATGAATGACTTAATGAAAATAATGAATAAAAAGGAAAAATGAATGACAAGGGAAAGGCAGACAAGACAAATGCACTTAGAGAGTCAGTGTCAGAGTAGATAGCCCCACTGCCTATTCTGTTAGAAGACATTGACTTTAAAATTTTTCAAATACTATAGTAAGCCCACCTTTATGTTTTATTTTTGCATTATCCTCAGAAGCCTTGATTTGGTTTGATTAACTTTGAAATCCATCTGGCATGGTCAGAATTGAAATTCTGTAGCTGTTAGTTTTGAATGTTATCATCGTCTCAGATTGTGAACATTTTCCCCAATTTATTTTTAGAGCCTAGATTCAGATTTATCAGATGGACCAGTCACTGTGCAGGAATTTATGGAGGTCAAAAACGCCCTAGTGGCTTCTGAGGCCAAGATACAACAGCTAATGAAGGTGAATAACAACTTGAGTGACGAGCTGAGAATTATGCAGAAAAAGGTAACATGTTAATAAATGCCAGGATGATTGACTCTTTAACCCCCATAGTATAAGGAAGAATCCCAGGTCAGAGGGAAGAAAAAAGTTATTGTAACAGACTTAAAAATCTTTGGGCCAAGCTGTCTTTTTGGAAGCAATATGTACTTGGATATTTCAGATGAAGTAGCTTTCATTAGAAATAAATCCAGAGAAAGCTTCCCAAGTAAAAGCAACCTAGTGTTTGTACCAGTCGTAGTGACACTTGCACTGTTCTGTGCTTCCTGGGATCCTGGGTGCCATTCCATGAATGTGATTCTTCCTATTGCACGTTCTAAAGAATAATCACACCATGAAGACACACAGCAAATGAAAGCCCTGGACAGATGTATGTTTATCAGCATTTACATAGACAAACCCTGCCCCATGCCCTGCAAGGGGTGCTCTCCCTATTCATTCTTATAAGTTGTTACTCACCCATGCCCTGGCAACCCTGTCCCACGTCCCTGCTTTATTTTTCACCGGTACTTAACCACTAATTTATGATATCCTCAGAGCCTGGAACAGCCACAGAGCAGGTTCTCAATAATATTAGAAAACATTTTGTTTGCAGTAGGCAGGTTTATACACTGGTAAGAAACAATCCCATTTGCTCAGCATTTTCTCATTCACTGCGTTTTGAGAGTGCCAGAAATATATAAATATATTAATCCCTGAAAGGAATGTGGCTAACAGTAGCACAGATTTTGCCTCAGATGGGGGGTTATATATGTAATTCTTTATGAGACTGCTAAGAAAAGGAAGTTGAAAAATTCTAAATTCTGCCTAGGACTTTGTGGGTACTGTTCTCATCATTCTCTACAGAATGAGAACTTGTAACTGGGCCCTTTTCAATGGTACTTCCTAAAGGAAGCCCACAGAACTAAAAAGAGGTCTGTACCCCTCTACTTGTCAGGGAAGTACACTGCAGTGCACCCTGGCCTGGGGCTTGGTCTAGGATTCTTTTGGTGTTGAGTTCTAGATCATTTTTTGAGACCTTTGAGATAAATGGCTCCACCATTTATCCAATTTTAATCAAACACTTGTTCTGTGCTGCGCTGGCCCTGTCTAGGGCTGTTGTGCTGCTGTGAACAAAACAGACCAAAAGCCCTTTTACCATAACATACAGGGCTTACACTTCCTCTGTCTTTTTTGAAATTTCGATTTGACCCATTAGTTGAACTAATAATTTTGTTGAGGTGCCTTTTTCTGAAACATGCTGACTTTGCCACTGTAAATCAACTTGCTAAGCATCACCTTTTTTATTCTATAATGCTCCTTTTAGTACTTGTAGAAATGGTCAGAAATAATCTATCTCTGAAAGCAAATGTCTCGAGGTTCTTTAAGAAATGCAGAGTGAAATTATTTGCCATTGCTCATAGATTATCTCCTCAATTCTTAGAAATGTTTTTAAATTCAGAAACTATCAAATTATCTATAACTTTTCATTTCTCATTATACTCCTTCCAAACAAAAAAGTGTGTTTAATTCTTATTAAGAAAAGCATCTCAAATTTACATGAGGACATCTCCCTAAATGTAGAATACTAAAATTTTTAAAAATAGAGACCAGGAACTTGTGCTCATCAAAACACATGCAAGCAGAATCCAGGCTGGATACTTCAGAGGCATGAAAAGCATTAAGATAAAGTTTCAGATTTCAAGGCCTTGTCTAAAACTCCCAAGAGAAGGTTTTTACATAGACAGACACCCTGGTCTTTCATTGACAGGCATGTGTTAGTCATGCTCCTTACTCTATGGACCTTGACCATTTCACTTTAGGATATGGGTTCCCTAATACATAGTTTCTACAGGCACCTTACGCCCATCTGTATCCTGGAACATAGGAATTTGTCACTTTGCAGCTGTTTCTTCTTTGGAGAGGGAGTTGCAGATATAAGTTATACTCTGAAAGCCTTTGTGGTATAGAAGCAATCTATCATTCCTTAGTGGATCGCTCTTTGAGAAAACAGATTGAGGATGTTTCTGTGGCAGAGGTGGTAAGTCAGGCTTTCACAAAAGTTGGGCACTATTAATATAAAGTATGTGAAATATGCTTATTTAGCAAAGATGTATTGATTTTATTTCAAAGTATATATATATATATATGTAGTTGACAAAGTAGTGTGATTTGTATCTGCTCTTTCACATTTTAACAGTTACTTGGAAAAGATGCTAATTAATGAAGAGGAGCAGCCACTATTGGTGTATTTTTCACAGATCAGTGCTTCCTAACTAAAAATTGAAAGTAACTTCTAACACTGGAAACACAATGAGTTTTCCATTGAAAATGTAATGATCTTCTGGTGCAAGTACAGTTGCTTGTGGACTTAAGCCTTGGCCCTGGTGGGGAATTTGGTCAGATTTTACCATCTCTGTCAAAGAGTAGACAGCTGAACTCACACCACACCCAGCTCATAAAGTGTCATGGAAGATGAAGGAGCACCAGAGGGAAAGGACACTGTGCAGACTGGACTCAGTTAATTGTGATAAAATGCCAGACGCCAAAGAGTAACACGATTCCTTGCTGATCCCTTAACTCTAATTCATCAAACACCATGAAACAGCCTGCATGTGAGGAATGCAAAGAGCATTCAGGGTCTCCAAGTGACAGCGTCTAACTAAAATGGGGTGTTGCCAGGTAGATTAGAGTTTTAAAGCTCACACCATCATGGTCGCAATTTTGGGTGACAAAGCCAAAGGAGAGAGAGGCCACATATTCCGACCCTGGCTGAAAGCTGATCCATCACCAGAGGAAGTGAGCGTGCTACGTGGAGCATTCAAATGAAGATGTTAACATAGTTCAGTAGATCTCCAGTTTTCTTCATGATGTGTTAATATAGCAAACATACCGTGATTCAGTTCCCTCTATTTTTAAAAAAGTGCTAACTTATTTGGAACATCAAGAGTATTATGTAATAAAAACCTGTTGATCATAATTTTTCTTGTTGACTTTTTGGGAAGCAGTAGCTGATCAGATTTTTCATAAATTGAACTTCACTGCCTTTCTTGCTTTGCAGCAATTCCAGTTATCTTTGTGCTGCTTCCATGGTGTCTGCTGGCATTTTTGGCATTTGCAAATTGCTCAGGGCTCCTTTGAAAAGCAAGTTACCTAAGTGATGTCTTAATGATCTCAAGCTCTTGCTAGAAACAGCCTTAGAATAATCCAGAGTCCAGCTTACCTGCAAACATTTCCCAGGCCCACCATGACCAGTCTTTAAGTGATTAGATGTTTCATTTTTAGAAAGTCCAAACTGCAACATTTCCATATTCAGAAATTAAGCTAGTTAATATACTTAAGTGATGAAGTGTGTTGATTGTGTTTCATTCATTCTAGAAAAAAAGAGTTATCATTGATAGTTGCCTTTTACTTTCAACCCAGCTAGCTGTTATTGTTCTTGTTGTTTAAAGCTGGTAGTTATATGCATTTATTTGGTGTTTGCTTTTTCTGCTTGCTGTAGAAAAACACAGTCCCACTGCCAAACATTTCTTTCAGCTTCAAACACTCCAGAGTGAAAATTCGAACCTCAGGAAACAGGCCACAACCAATATATATCAGGTGCAAACTGGTTCTGAGTACACAGATACTTCCAACCACTCTTCCTTAAAGCGACGTCCATCTGCCCGGGGCAGTAGGCCCATGTCCATGTATGAGACGGGATCAGGTCAGAAACCATATCTCCCAATGGGAGAAGTGAACCACCCTGAAGAGAGCAGGACAAGACTCCAGCCTTTCCCTGCACACGTAAGTAACATCACTGGCGCTTCCACTGTTCACTCTATTCAGCCTGACTCTTACATTCCCTCTTCTGAACCTGCATATCCCCACATCTCTGCTTTGCCAATTGTGTACAAGAGTCGTCCTTGTGTTTGCTGTATTAACATGTTAGCAGATGCTTGCGACATTCCCACAAGCACATAGGGCCATTGGCCACAAGTTTTCCAACAAGGCTGGGGATTCTGGCTGTTGTTCAGCTTTTCTCCCCTTTTTCCTCCACTGTATCCATAATATCTTTCCCAGCCAGCCACCAGTATTGGAACTGTTCTTTATAAGAAACTTCCTCCCCCACTTCCAAAACCAAAAACGGATTGTAAAGGTCACCTGCAGAAGTCAGTGCCATCTTCTTCAAGGTAGACAGGTACGTGCCCTGTTATGAACTGGAGGGAGCCCTTAGAATTCAGGGTGCCTTCCCTGCTTCTAGTTGGACAGGTGTCATCTATGGCCTGGGCGCACAGGATTCTAGGAGCTTCCAGGCCTCCTCAGCCTCTGCACTTGTGGTCAGCATGCCTGCTTAGCTTCTGCATCCTCCTCCTCCCATTCTTGGAGAAAGAATTGCTGTGTCATTTCATAAGAATGAGGTGTGAAAACTTTACCTCAGTTTTATAAGTGTCATATTCCAAAGATTGTATTGTGTAACAGGCTGCTAACAATCTTATTTTATAATGGGATAAGTATTGTGTTGTGAGGTTTTCAAATGTCATGTTTCTTTTGGATTCATTTATTTTTAAAACCTGTTTTGACAAAATATTACAGACATTTTGAACTTCTGTGATATTTTTCAGAGTAATATTCATCTTTTTGAATGTCAGTTATTTTTTTCAGTCAAATTTTGTAGGATTTCCAAAAAATTCTCAGAGTAAATGTAAAGGATATGGTCTAGTAAATTAAACCCTGGTTTAATTTTGTCAAGCTTTAGTGTGGTGAAATTATAGTGTTGTTATATTATAATTGAGAGTCCATTACTTCAGCTTTTAAGTTGGTTGAGCTAAACATTCTAAAGTAATTGATTTGATGCATTCGGTGTAATGAGAATGTTATTGAACTAAGTTAAGAATATTTTCGTATGTTATTGAACTAAGTTAAGAATATTTTCGTATAACCGAAAACAGTGTAGGAAAAGCAACTTTTTAAAATTTTCGCAGTGTACTTTTTCATTTTAGAAACATTTAGAATATAAGAATCATGTCATTGCAAAAGTTCTGTATCTATACTACAAAGATTGGTAATGTATACCAACTTTTAATCATTCATATAGTTTCTCATTTCATATTATCTGTCCTAATTAAAAAACAAATATTTGCTTAAGGGTATTTTAAAAAACTATTGGTGAATTTGACGCATTATGCAAGGCATTATATTTTCTGTTATAGAAAAATAGCCATTGATTCCGAGTAATTTCTGAGAGGCATTTCACTAAGGGGTTACACATCTCTGGGCATCTGTCATCGGCTAGCATGGCAGTCAGCCCACCTGTCACAGAAGTTTCAGCACTAATCTCACATAGTAGCTTTTTAGGATTCTTTTACTGAGAAATCTGGGCTGAAGTCAGGGTAGGTGGTAGGTAGGGTTTTTGTTCATTTGTATTTTTCCGAGTGTGTTTCTTTTTCACCTTCCAGATCGGGAGGAGTGCGCTTGTGACCTCCTCTTCATCTCTGCCTTCCTTCCCCTCTACACTTTCCTGGTCGAGGGATGAAAGCACCCGAAGGGTTAAGTACACTCTGAATGGTCTGCTCTATGGAGGAGGGGCAGTGCTCCTGGGCGCTTTGTGCTTCTGGCCCTCCTGTCCTCTGTCATGCATGAGACAGCACTTCCCTCCTGGTGTCTCACAGCACAGCAGCGTGCACAGACACAGACACACACACACATGCACGCATGCCTGTAGGAGGCAGCCTGCCTTTTGTCTAACTCCACATTGCCCAGTTTCAATTACTATTTAACGAAATTTTCAATTCACCCTATAACATTTATTCTGAGCATACTGTCTTTTTAAATAATCAGAAAATTAGCTGGCTGCTGGTTAAATATTGTAATTGGGCGAATCTGTCAAATTTGTTTAGAGCTTTAGTTATCAAATTAAAACTAGTATGTTTGGACTAACTAAAACACTAGGACGTCATGCTTTTTTTAAAACCTCTTGACATATTTTATGTCAGCACCATATTCGACAAACCAAGGTTTTGCAGTCCCTGCATCTTACGTCAGCATTACAACACAAAGCAGCATTGGAGGTGTAGGCAGCCATTAATATGAAGCTATTCACTTTATTGGTCAAGTCCAGCTTTCTGATGTATAACTTACATTCCCAGTAACAGTACATGATTCAGGTATGCTTCTTTAAGAGTAGCCAGGCAACAAGTATTTATTAAGCACCTCCTCCATACCCAGCCTTTTGGTAAGTCAGTGAAAGAGTCTTAGGGACTTAGATGACATCCCTGTTCCCAAAGGCACTGTCAGTTTAAAAAATACTTTCTTGCATGAAGAGTACATGACAGCAAGCTGGGGAAGTCGTGGAAAGTTTGAAGAACTGCATTCAGGTCTTGGCTCACTCTTTTTTTTTTAAACCAAAGGGGAATGCAACTAAGGCGAGAGGAGAGAAAGTACCTTCAGAGACAAGTGGGATTTGCACTTGGCCTTTGTCCATTCTTCTACATCAGTAGGAACAATGGAGAATAGTTCTCTCCCACTGCCAGTCCCATAAGTCTCATCAAGTCCCTTTGGGTGTTCTTTTCTGCACTTTTGAAGTAGTCTATTAAAAAGAATTCTTGGTATATGATAGTTAATCTTCTGAGCAGTCCTGAAATGGAACTGCAGTGTTTTTATTACAACATTTTAGTTAAACTAAGGGACAGTTAATAGAAATGAAATACCTCATTTGAAATTTCGTTAAGAGTCAAGTAAACTTCTTTTGTCCACTGAAATTTCTTAAAAAAATTTTTTTTTGTTACTTTTGAGAATCATTGCAAGGACTGCTTGCTGATAAGAGTTTATACAAGATTAGCAATTAAGTCATTTAAATTGATAATCTTGATTGTTCCTGACAACTTCTTATGAGTTTAGATTTTTATGGAAAACTGCAACTCTATTAAGTAAACTGAACCAGCACCAGCTATATGGTAACTTTTCTATTAACAGCTTTGAGAGAGCAGCACTTTTAACTAATAGATCTTAGCTCTGCATGTTTACAGTAATTTTCACAAAATTAAATGCTGGCTAATTTGAAATCCTGTACATATATTTTGTTCAATGATGAAGGACTTAATGTGTAAGTAACTGATTTCCTGGGTGGTTACTGCTATACATTGTTTTCACTACTTGAGAAACATTTCCTGAGTACTTTTATTAGATATATGAGTTATTACTCGTCTAAAATTTTAAATGAAACTTGGTACTTTTGATCATTGTCAGGTAATACATTTGATTTGTAAGTATCAAATTTACATTAAAGAGGGCAAAATGATCTATTATAAAAATGTGAGATTTCCTGGGCTAATTCTGTTTTCTAGATTTTTCCACTAGAGCAGCTCTGGATGAATTTTCCAGAATAATTATTTAAATGCAAGTTTTTTATATTACATTTATGTATATGTATGTGTGTATGTACACATACATATGCACTCATCCATATGTGTGTGCATGTATATATAAAAACTAAAGGAAAAGAAATTTAAAGATTAGTCATACATTCCCTGCGAAAGGTAAGGTGGATTTTTGTTTTGAGGGCTTTTGGGGATCACCTCTGGAAGAGCCTGGTTTCACTGTTCCCTATACTGGATACGGTGCCTGCCTTTGGTCTTCCATCTAGACTTCCAGTTGCCAGTATCTCATTGATTGATTCATAAAGCCAGATCAAAATAAGGCAGCAAGTGAAGAATAACTGCTTGCTGGTAAGAGATATAAACAAAGGGATCTTACAAGTTGTAGATTTTACAGAACTTAGCTTTACAGACTCTCCATATGGCTCCAAGCTAACACTTTTAATCATTTGCCAGATCAACTTGTATGGGTAAAGTTCGTATTGAATTTAGGAGCCCAGTGCAAGTGTTTTATGTTCAAGTAGCTAGGACCAAATAGATCATTTGGGAGGAATGCGAAAGACCTCAGCAGACAGAGAAAGAGAGCATTTGCCCTGGGAGAGGAAAGAAAAAGGCCATGGGGCTATATAAGCAAAATGTGATGTGAATAAGTAGTCTTTCCCCGCCTGAGGGCTGGCTGCCTTGCCTATCTGGGTAGGTCCTTCAGAGAGCCAGGCAGCATTATCAGTAAGGAGCAAATATTAGATTTTAGGTAGACTTTCTTAAACTGACATACTTTAAAGTAGCCACTCTTTTGGATGAACTGTAGGTCCCCATATGTTTAAAAGGGCTCTTAATTTACAGTTGGCCTTTGAACAACACAGGGGTCAGGGGCACCAACCGCCTCTGCTTTCGAAAGTATGCTTATAACTTAAAGTGAGCACTTCATGTATGCAGATATCCAACTACAGGTTGACCCTCAAATAATGTGGGTGTGAACTGCATGGGGTCAGTTGAACTGTGCAGGTCCGTTGAAAACAATTTGCATGTAAATGGATCCGTGCAGTTCCCACCTACGTTATTCAAGGATCAGCTATACACCTATATCTTTAGCAACATTTTATTGTAGCATCAATAAAATTCCTTAGTCACATGTTGGATTATCTTGTATTAAATTCAAGGCACAGAGCTGGCAATAGTTTATATTTGTATTTTGCAAGGCATTCGGTTTAGGTTTTAAATCAGCTTTCACTGATTTCTGTTCTAGATAAAGAAATTCTCAAAAAGTATGAATAAAACAAATACTGAGGCAAAATTATTTTTATTAAACATTCCAGAACTAACATAACCCCCGTCAAAGGAATGTGGTTCTCTTCAAATTTTGTCACCCTGGGAGGCCCTGTACTTAGCAGTGCTGCCATTTGCTCAGAATATTCTTAGGATTCCTCTTTTGAATCTGTCCCATCTTTCAATCTCCACAGTTGTACCAGATCTTTGTATTTTGAGGGTTAGATGTTTTGGGAAACAGATAAAAGCAGTTGGAAACCCAGTGTCACACTGGGTTAACCCATTTTGATTCACAAACAACATGTGGCAATAAATTAACAATACTGGTTTTTTGTGTGTGACTCACGTAAACTATCTCTGAGGTTAGTTCTTAGAGAGCCATACATGTTTTGAGCAGAGGTGATCCTCAGAGCCCCAGGCGTGGAATACAGGAGACAGCAGGAGACAGGAGACTGAGGTTCTTGGTTATGTTTTTCTCCTGACTCTGTGGCCTCGGGTAAGTCATTCTCATTTGGTATTAAACTAGATAATCTGCAGGTAGCTTCCAGTGCTAAAGGTCTATGAGTATGTAAGTGCTGGCATGTTTGTTATTTAAATAGATCTCATTATAGTAAACTTGTATTCCTTAAAGAACTAAATGTGGGTGTGCTGCCTTGTGTGTCTGTTAGTTTGTACAAAGAATCTATTTATGGAGTAGCCACTGAGCCAAGAAGAAAATGGTGCAAAGAAGGAAAGAAACCATTCTGGATCCACTGTTCATCTTTTACTAAATTTTCAATAAAGGATTGGCTCCTGTCCCAAATGAGATCTGGGATATGAAAGCCGTGTAGCCTAACAGGTAATGATTCCTGGGGAAGGTCCCCAACAAATGTCTTGTACTGTAAACTAATGGGGGTCATCTTTTCTCTCTTGTAGGCATCCAGGCTGGAGAAGCAGAACAGCACACCTGAAAGTGACTATGACAACACTCCCAATGACATGGACCCAGATGACATGGGGTACATCTGCAGGAAGGATGTACCGGGGGTTGGGCTCTTAAACCAGAGACCTAGCAGGCCGTGGTCAGGAGGTGCAGTTCATCACCTGCACCCCTTTTATCTATTTTCAGACCCATAAGATCTTAAAATATTAAGGCATAAGTTCATAGTTCACACCTCTTCTCATTTCACATTATTGCCACAGGGGACTTTTTTTCTTTTATCGACATATTATACACATGTCTCGGTCTCTATAATGTGCTTAAAATCAGTACTTCCCTTTAGTCGATGTTAGGTTAAATTCTGCATTTGTACCCCAAGGAACTGGCTCAATTAGGAATGGATTTATAATGACACACCTTCCCTCTTCCAGTTTTTCTCTTCCTTTCTCCATCTTTACCCTTTCTACGGGAGTCATATTTTCCAGCCCTATAGTAGAATAAAAGCCTCCATATGAGTTGTGGCTGCCTGTTGATGAAACAGCCTTACCATGAGTCTCCTGCCAGACAGGATAAAGGAAACCACAAAAGCAGCATACTTGTGCACTCAGCAAATGCACATGCAGTGGCTCGTAGAAGCAGAGAAGCAGCTGATAAACACCTGTTGCATTTAACCACTTCTTTAATATTCACAGGTCAAGCAGGAAGGGAAGGCAGAGGAGTATGGTGTGGCAAGGTGATGGCTCAGTACCAGATACGGCAGACCCCCTAATGCCCCCAAGCCCCATTCTCCCCAGCACCGAAGACGTCATCCGGAAAACCGAGCAGATCACCAAAAACATACAGGAGCTCTTAAGAGCTGCCCAAGAAAATAAACACGACAGGTAAGGGGGCTTGGAAATTCTGCCTGGGAGAATGTATGTATATGCTCTGAAGAGATGCTGCTCCAGTTATGAACAGGGATTTTTTTTTCAGTATGCTGATTTTAAAAGTTTTTGAACATTGCAGGTTAATGTAACAGGCTCAAGAACAAACTTTTAAATTTGGGGGGATTTTTACATCGTATTTTCAATTTCATCTTGTTATGAAGTGCTCTGAAAATAAATGTCTCTTGAAATAGAATTGCAGCGTAGTTGGGGTAGTGATATTCCTAGTTCTGGATGCAGAGGGCAGAGAAGCTACCTGAGAACTTGTAATTGATTCTTTCCACCACTGCTGCTGCCTGTGATCTCCTTAGCTAGGAAGAAGTTTGCTGACAGAAAGTATCCTGAAGTGAACCTGATTTCTTATCTGTCTTTTGTGTGCGTATGTGCTTACATATGTGTGAACATCTAAAAAATAAGCAGTTTACAAATAAAAGTTGATCAAATCACTACCCAAGTAACTCTCTGCTCATGAAAAAAGAGTCTGCTCACTCCGAGCAGAACCATATCCAGCAGCGTTACTTCTTACCATAGGAAGGGGACTGGCTCTTGTTCTAACTCTTTTGTCCTCTAAGAACTTTGGGTAAGCTGTTAACTGTCCTGGGTGTTGTCCTAGTTTCATGTGGCTGGCCTAATCTGGACACACTTGTGAAACATTGTTTAACATCATACTATCAAGTTTAAGAAAGTGACAGAGTTTGATCAAAACCCAAGAACAATCTCATTCTTTTCATTAGGTCAGCAGAGTTTAGGGCCCTCAGTGAAGAACTTCTCATTTCGTGCCTTGCACAAACAAAAGTTGTTCAAGGACCGCAGTACTGCTCCTTCTTTCTCCTCTCTGTTCTTTCCATGTAAAGATGCACTGGTCTCTTTCGCGTTCTTTGCATTCCTGTCCCTGCCATGCTAACCTTCCTTTTGCTGTCTTTTCTCTTTTTTTATACAACTCAGACTTCTCCCAGTATCATTATTTCCCACTGGGTAGGAAAGGAAGAGTTAATGTTTATTGAAGAATAAGAGTCTTCATGGCTGGACCATTAGAGGATCATCAGAGAAAAAGAGGGACCTGCACAATTTCTCAGCTTCCAGGAAAATGATAGAACTATTTATCGCCCTCCTTACACAGGCGTCCTCTTTATCATGCACCTTTCATGCATCGCATGCTACAGGTGTTTAGTTCCTCTGCTCAATACAACTCAGTCTTGGCAACAAGCAACTTCATTATCTTATTACTAGAGCAAAATATTTCAGCTTTACCAGTACAGTCTTTAAAGTAATCTTGATACCAGATGAACTCCTTTCCTGGTGTTCTCTCGCCATTGAACAATGTGCTTTACTTTTCATTTCCTCCAGTTTAGAAGTGCTATGCTTATGTTTCAAACTAAAAAAAAAAAAAAAATGTGCTTATGTAGCATTGTTCTCTTTGATAGTTGTCAAAAATATAAATATCTGCCCATTTCTGGCTTCAAAGATTGCGATATGGTGCTTGGTACAATTTGGGGAATTGAATTTTTTTTTAATGTACGATTTCATTTACAATATGATTTCTTTTTTTTAAGACTGTGAAAGAATCTCTCGCGCACGCACGCACACACAGAATTACACAGTTCAGGATTACTACATACTATGCACAAAAGGAAGGATAATTTGACGTTGTGAACATGAACTCCCTCTGGTAGAGGAAGACTTTCCTAGTAACCTGTGTGTACTTTCTTTTATGGCTTACTGAAGACTTTCTAAAATGTCTTGTAATGAATGATGTTTTGAGAGATATCCTTAGAAAAACTTTCTTCTCTATATAGCAGGGGGAAAGGATGAATCATATTTCTGAGTCAGAATGAAAACCCTACGCAGAAAACATAAAACTCTTCAGCGTGGTTCTCAGTTAATGTGATATTAATGGACATACTGGTTCAAGATACATTGATGTCCGATAGAGTGGTCGCCTTTTTCTCTTTCTGTCTGTGTGACCAGATGGGTTGTTGCCCTTTCACGTTTGTAAGTTAAATAACTCATGCATTGGCATTTTTGTTATTACATGGTATATGGTTCTAATTGCTCACAAAGGTAAAAGGATCTCCCATTTGAAGGCATTTTGGGATAATATAAACCATTTTCTTAAAATGTAATGGTTTTGTTAAAATGTAGGCAGTCTTCATTAAAATAGTTTTGATGCTGGTTTTCTTCCAAGATGAAGTACAGAGGTTGCTGATGACAGTCTACACAGAAGTCAACTTCAAGACTTAAAAAATTGGGAAAGAATGTCACTTGAGGGCTTTAAGTGCTAGGCTGGATGCTGAATGACATTCAGTTCTGTATCTTAAAAGGGAAATTTTAAAACACACCACGTGAGTCTTGTATAAGACTAAATCTCTACATTCACACTGTATTTCTCAACACAGTAAAATAAAAACAGGCCCCTAAAGTGCTTTTCCCATGTCCAGTTTCCCTCCTGGGCTCTGTGGGTCACCTCTAGAAGCAAAACCCAGGCCTGGTGGCAATTTAAGAACTGCCACTTAATACTATCTTCAATTTGTTTTTGTCTCTGCACCTTTTAACACATACTACTCAGGGCAGAACCTTAAAATTTTTAAGGTACAGCAAACATGCCCCATATGTTGCTTGTCACAGTACTAAGTATAAGAATTCTGAATGAAACCAATGTCTCAATTCTTCCAGTTCTCATCACCTAAGAAGTCAGAATCACCAGTCATCAGTGAAAAGAGGCTTGCTGTAAAAAAAGATGTGAATCTATTACCTCTCTGATTCTGGGAGAGGCCTATGGTGTGGCAGTGAGAGTTCTGGGCTCAGACGTTTTATGGCCAGGGTTAAGCTAAGCTCTCTTACCAACTGTAAGACTTTGGACAAGTTCTCCATCTCTCCAGGACTCAGTTTCTTCATTTGAAAAATAGGTTTGTTAATAGTACCAACCTCATAGGGCCGCTGGGAGAATTACATGAATTTCTGCGAAGCACTGAGAAGGGAACCTGGCATGTAGCCAGTGCTCCCTTCTCATGCTGTCATCTTAAGGGCCCTTAAGGAGGCCATGTGACCTAGAAGAAAGGATGAGGACAGGTAAATTTAATGTGCTTTGTCTTTTTTGAGTTTGTCAACAAAGAAAATGTTGACTGATCTTGTAGTATTTTATTACAAAGTTACGGCGACCTCATGAAAAAGTGGTAGATAAGTGTTTGAACAAGTATATGAAGCTGACCCCAGTGTTTCCTCATTATTCAAAGTAAAACTTTTGACACCCCAATTCAAATGCATTGAATGGAAGGAATTTAGAAGTGTCTATTGGTTAAAAGACATGTGGGTGTTGAGGTGTAGGCTCCATTTCGAAGGAATATATTTCAGTCCTTTATTTTTAACTTCTGGGGCCTCTTTGCATGGAAATCCCTGTTTCACTTTCGAGAAATTGGGAAGATGAAACACATGAGAAATAAATGTCCAAGTTGAGGAGGAGTGAGTATCATTATAGATTAACTGTTTTGTGGCCTCACCTGGCTAGTAGTGTATGATGCCTGTGTTTCATACTTGGAGACTTTTTATCAGATTGAATAAACTTTCAAAAAAACATGGGACCCTGCTTTAAAACCAAGTGCCTTCTGTTTGTGTGGGATCCACAGCAGGCTGGCTGTGGCCTTAATTCTTTCATTCAGAACACATCAATGGAACCTGTGCTAGCCCCTGAATGTTCTCTGTCTCTGAATTATTTTTACTGTCTTTGAATAACCCTTTCAATATTTTTGCAGTTATATTCCCTGCTCAGAGAGGATACATGTAGCTGTTACAGAAATGGCAGCATTGTTCCCCAAAGTAAGTCACTTCCTACTTGCTTGGTTCAGATCCTTTTAAATGAACTGCAAGAAATTTCTTTATGACTTTCACATCATCTTAATTTTGTTGTAGCACAAAGAGTCTTAAATATGCGAATAGTCATATGTCATATAGGGCATTGAAACATTTTTCTTCTACATGGATATTGGTTTTAATAAGACAATAATGTCAGAGCCCAAAAAGCAAAGCATTAATAGAATAAAAATTTATCTGGAATATTTCACCCAAGTGGATTAATGTTAATTAATATTAATTAATATTAATTAAAAACTGTCTCAGAATAGCACATACTACTAAAACGACACTGCACGCACTTTGACCTTTGAGTTAGAGTGCTCGAGCATCTCTCAAACTGTGGTTTGCAATGCTTTCAAGTGTTCTGAGCACCTCCTTTGAAAAAGTGCCAAAAATAGCTATTCACTGTGGAATCGGCTAAATTGTTTTCAGAGGAATGCTTATCTCTGCTCTTGGATGTCTACCCTGCAGTTCATGGTGAACAGCTGTGTTTTCTGTTTAGAAACCCAAGTCTGACATGTTGAGGACTTCCCTTCGCCTACTGACATCCAGTGCCTACCGACTTCAGTCAGAGTGCAAGAAAACCCTCCCGGGGGACTCAGGTCCGCCCACGGACATCCAGCTGGTCACACAGCAGGTCATCCAGTGTGCGTATGACATCGCCAAGGCCGCTAAACAGCTGGTCACTATCACCACCAAAGAGAACAACAACTGAATAGTAGAGTGCTGGCCCTTCTATTTTCTAGGCTTTTCAAAGTCCGGTTTCAAATTTAAACATGGAACTCATCCAATTTTTATAGAAACAAACATTTAATGAAAGTTTAAAACTTTTAAAAAAAAAACTCAGTATTATTTTTGCATGTTTTCTAACAGATTTTCAACTATTAATTTAACCCACTTGCCTTATTTTTGTGCCTGTTTGCCAGTTTACTTTCTGATGTTCTATTGTGCTGTTAGTGACTGTCGAGTTAATGATCATAAACATCCAAAAGCATAGCTTCATTGTTTCAAGTTTGTTAGAATTCTTCCAGCCCTTTAAACTCCTTGACTATGGTTAAAACTATAAATGAAATAATTTTTAGCGAAACATTTTCTTGAGAGAGTTGGGTTTAAAAAAAAAAAAAAAAAATGTTTCCTACCAAGCATTGTGCAATAAGTGAATTTTCTACCCTACTGCAAGAATCTCTAAGTTTGGAATATCTCTAAGCATCTATGTAGACACAGGATTTTGCCACTTTCTAAAAATAGTGTAATGGTCTCTCTTGAAAGGAAACAGTGAATTGTTCCATTTCTTTTAACTGTTCTATCATGTCAGATGTTTTTTAATTTTTCTATCTTGATATTCTCTTTCTATTTTACTATCATCCTGAAGTCTCTGTGGCATCACATAAGCACTCATCCTCCACGTCGTGTGACATTTGGCCATGTCCAGGTAGGCACACCACCACATTGTCACGCGTAGTCCACTCCTCTTGCCTTATCACAGGAAACCTGACGTTTCATTCCATACGTACAGCAAAGAGGAACATCAGTCCACAGGCCATAACTCATTCTCGACCACTTCGTTCCACTATCATTGCCATAAACCAAGGAAAGAAAGAATCTACTCCCTGACCTTGTATTGTACCTCTCATCCAAAACTCGCTTACTCCTTTAACCACTTAAAGCTTTCTCACACAACCTGCTTCACATAGCTTGTTTCCTTGAAGGACTTCTTATAAGGTAAGATTTATATAACCATCTGAGTTTGTTTCTCCTCCATTACCTCACTGGTACTTAAAAATTAGACATCGACTTTCAAGAATTCCTTAGAGTGAACTAACTGACTATTTACTATCCCAAAGCTATGAAAGAGTAGATTTAAGTTCTGGAACATACTGAGTTTGTTTTCTCAGTTGCTCAAGAGACCTTTCTTGTTCTGAATGCTAAAACATATTCCTGTTCCTGCTTAGTGCAGCAGTTTTTTGTGGGTGTGGCTCAGACCCTGACCTAGACCAGAGGGGCCAGGCAGTAGTGACAAAGATGAATGAAGTGAGCCAGGTGCAAAAATGGGCTTGGGGTTGCCAGAGCTTTCATTTCTCAAGAGACCCCAGAAATCTGGATGTTTTTTGTGCCATCTGTGTTTCTAAATGTTGGCGACTGATGTCAACATTTTCAAGTACACATGTGGGAGAGCTGTGTTCTCTAGCCTGCCAGCTCACAGCCTCTGCCCTGGGGCCCTGTAGACTGCAGTGTGAGGGCCTGGCTTCCCTGGCCACACCTGGTTTGGCCTCAGCCTTACCTGGAATGTGGCCACCCTACCTTGTGTTAAATTGCTGTTTGTCCTTGTTTTACCCATATATTCTGTCCCATAGTGCTCATTTACACATGTGAAGGAGTCAAAATAATCAAAGTTGCCTAAATACATGCTAAATGAGCCTGTATTTTCACAGAACTGTTTGATTCACAATCACCTTTGTAGCTTGACCGTAAGCTGTTATGAAAGGAGCACCGCGATGGTGTTTGGTTTACCGAGTCACTGTGTGTGGATGCTTTTGCCAAGTTTTGCTACACTGAGTAGCATGGGGAAAGGGTCCACATCTCCAAAAGACTCATCCACTTGCTTGTCTGCACAACCCTAAGTGCCATGCTCCCATCAGATGACGAGGGGATGCCTTCTTGAAGGATGTCTTCTACTTTTAAGTTCAAGCACCATCTGCAAGTACTTAGCTGTCACTCCTCTTTTTTGCAAACACCTGCCCTCCTGTTGGCCCATGTGGGGTCTTCGGGAAAGGCCCAGCAGCCTTGAGTTGGTGTCCTTGGCCTCCTGGGGGGACAGGCTTCTGAATAACGAGTCATCTGTAGTGGATGAAGCAATGTCTTCACTTGAGTATTCAAAGTCCTGCGATGGAGGACACTGTTTCTGTGCCCCTAGAGAAAGTCAGGGAATGTGGGGACCAACAAAGCATTTCAACAATTGTAAGAACACCGCAGAAATGTGCTCTGTTAACCTACAGTGCCAAAACTCTGGAAAGAAGTTCTCAAGTGGAGTGACGTGCGGTGACAGGAGGGCTGCAAGTCTTCCTTCTCTTTAAGTGCCCTGCACATTTCCTCAGTCTCATCTGAGATCTGGTGTCGGAAGTTCTCTGGTCCTGTTGGCAAATCGCACCTTGTCTGAACGGTTGTTCACTGCCTTTTGCACATGGGTTCCATAGCCTTGCACTAATGCCTGTGTTCTGTAATGTCATTATTTTGCCCTTTATTCTCAAATCCTCCCCCCCGCCCCCAAAGCTGGTAGGACAGAGGTGCACTTTACAAAACTGGCACTTGCTGAAGAGGAGACAGCTCCACCCCTAAGCTCCTTTAACTGATGTCATCTTCTGCCTCAAAATGCAAATAGTTCTTATTTGCCAAAGAACACTGAATTTGGGCCCAAAGATCGAATACAGCACTTCATATAATTGGAACTGTAAACGCACAACTCGGGAGCTGTTATCCAATTCCTCAAGCAATTTAAGCTGTAGAATCAAGAGTGAGACTAGCATATGTTTGTCCTCCACAGCAACTGTGAGCTTTCCAAACAATTTTCGTTCTTTCCTCGTCCCAGTTGAAGGTCACCCTTGTCTTTACAAAGGAAAATGCTGCATAGGAAAAATGAAATGCCTTGTATTCAAATGTTTTATCCATGTCACCCATTATTCTGTACTTATTTTTCATTTTTATTGTACATTCTATTCCTGTAATTATTGTACAACCCTTTAAGCATTGTAAAATTGTTTTGGAATTTGTGCCTGCTAGTTATGCAATAAACAGGCTCTTTAAGTGTCTTTGTGGTAATTCTGTTTCCCATCAATTAGTTGATACTTACAGATACTCTGTCAAAGTTCCGAGAAAGTTCTCACATAACCCCATTTTTAATGAGACAGTATTGAATATGCTTTCACCCTGAACACTGTCAGTTTACAGGAATGATGACCTTTTTCATCCTTTGAGCTTAGCAGATAGCTTTATTAAAAGAAATCCTGCATCAGGATATCAGTTCCAGGTATCTTATCATGATATATTTACTTCTTAAGTTTAATTTTTTAAATTCAGCAAAAGCCCGCCAAGCACAAGTGATCTGGTTGTGGTGTTAGTTTAGTCTCTTAAGGCCACCGGTCTCTTAAACTTTCAGAACAAGGCCCGTTGTGCAGATTCACATGAGAGGCTATAGAATGTAGATTTATACCTGAGTTCATCAGAACCACCCTCAGTCCCCAACAGTTGTCTTCTTGGAGAGGTGACTTGGGGCTCTTCTCCCAAACAGAAGGAAAGGTGGGATAGGACCTTGTCATCACAGGTGTCTTTCCAAGCAAGAAGTCTGGGGAAGATGGAACATGTTCACTGTGTGTTACATCTTGTCTGAGGACCCAGTACTAGCTGATCAGACCCACCAGCTCATACTCAGAAGCTCCTCTGAGGGCAGGATTTCTCAAATGAGCCAGCATAGCCAAAAGGGCTCGCTGAAACACAGCTAACAATTCTTCTCTGGTTCAGTAGCTCGGGGGTTGGGGATTGGGAGTTGCATTTCTAACACGGTCCCAGGGGATGCTGCTACTGCTGGCTGAGACCACACTCTGTAAAGCACTGCTGTAGACTATTTCCAGGCTCCCCTTCCCCCCATGTGGCTCCTTTTAAACATGTTTTTATGATAATTCTAATTACGACTAGCATTAATCAGTTAGTTGCTGTGCTCCAGACACTGTGCTGGGTGTGAAGCAAGAGGAGTTAGTTCCTGTTGTACAGATGAGGAAGTTTACATTCAAAGGGGTGAAGTCCCACATCAAAGGAAGAGGGGAGTGTGTGAGTTACCGTTAGTCTACTTTGTCTTAATCAGCCAAGTGGGTTTTCATGACCTTATTAGGGTCTGTGATAAGGAATCCCAGAGAATGTGGCCTCATGTGGAGGTGAAATTTCGGGGCAGCTACATTCCCCTGACGCTCTAGGTCAGAGTAGGCCACTGGGTGATATGTGACTATGTGAATACGTGGCTTTATTGGATAAATGGGGCACAGGCTGCATGTGGACCTTAAGTGGAGACTGTCTCATCTTTGAGCCCCAGGCACCAGAATCCCTCCAGCACCTGTTGAGTGACCAACTGGAAAGGCTGTCTTCTGGCTCTAAGGTACCTGGAGCAGCACCTTCCTATCCATGGGGCTGAGTCGGGATGGCCTCACCACAGGGTCGGCTCAGACCTGAGGGTGACCCACTGCCTAGCAGGCTGTGTGCAACACTGTCCAGGAGCCAGTCCCTGTGGCCTATAGATGCCAGGCAGAGGAGACCATGGTCCCCACCTCTGCCAGCCAGCTTCTAGCCAGAAGTCAGAGCCACACGAGGTGGGTCAGATTCTTTAATTACTTTACAGGAGTAATGTGAGCTCTCCACAGAATAGGTCCCCAGGGGAGGGGCCACTGGGGATGGGAGAGGCCTTTGTGAACCCTTGCTTCATCCTGTCCGACGGCCATCTTTCCTCTTCCACACACCCAGGCACTTACAGCTTTCTGACTGCACTGTCTTCCCGGGCCCTCAAACTGTCTAAACCAGGGGTCCCTAATACCCAGAGTGTGGACCAGGCAGCACAGCAGGTGGTGAGCGGCTGGCAAGCCAGTGAAGCTTCATCTGTATTTGCATCCACTCCCCAGCACCAGCATCACTCAGATCATCAGTCATTAGATTCTCACAGGAGCACCGGTCCCTGATGCCAAAAAGGTTGGAGACTGCTGGTGTAAACATACTAGGAACCTCTCAGCCCCATTTCTCCCAAACACAGCTTTTCTTTGAGGACCCACACCTCTCTCCTCCAAAATCTCTCTTCTCACCCCTCACGCCTTCCCAACACCTTCCCTTCTTGGAACTCATTTTCCCCCTTTTCTCTCTTCTGTCTCAGGCCCCCCCATCCCCCTAGACCTTATAGAATGGACCTCTCTGTCCTGCCGCACCTTGCCCAGCTCTTCCCTCCCCTTCCCTTTCAGAACCCCCAAGCAATTACTCCTTACCGTTTCTCTTGGCTTAGTCCTATAAGCTTCATCTTTCCTCCAGGTCTTGTTTTTCCTCATGAGCCCCCAAACAAGTTATGAACAGGAAGTTCTGAAATGGAACATGGACTGCCCTCCCCAACCCTGGGGTCTAAGGTTGACATCTTAGCCTCCCCTTGCACCACATCTTGCCATCTGCTTCCCTCTTCCAGCCCTCCCCTTCCCGGGACCTCTCATACCTCCCCACCCTACCCTGCCCTAATCCTTTCAGACTAGAGGGGCTGAGTTAACACGAGCACTCACTGTGTGCAGCCACTGGGGTAAGTACAAGTTTGTAAAGCAGGAACTGAAACTACCCCCATTTTTGCAGATGAGGAAACTGAGGCTCAGCCCTCAGAGTCCAGTTAGTGATGGTAGAGCAAGTTAGAGCACAAGACCTGCGCTCTTAACCACAGCATTCTATGGGCATGGTGAACTATTTAGGATAAGGAGGACTGGAGGAACATGGCTGATGGCAGAACTTCTGGAAGCAGAAGAGAATGAGGAATAGCCATGGCCTCGACCTCAGCAGAGGTAAGATGGGAGGGAGAAGTGGGATGCCAGTCTGTCCACCTTGTAGGTGGGGGTGGGAGGCGAGGGGTTTAAAATAGAGCCTGGGTGGCCAAGTTTGTGTTTTGTCTTCTAATTCTTTGTTTTTGCCACAAATATTCCTCATCTTTTCTGTTTCAAATTGAGACACTTGGTAACACTGCTCTGTGAGTAGACGATGTTGCCTAATTCAACTGTCTCAGGGATTCAGGGCCTTCACAGATTCCATGTGGCACGTTGACTCACCCCAAGTTTGCCATTCTGCAAAGAGCAGCCCTGTGCCTGCTACTAGAAGCAGGAGGGCTCCCTTTAGGGCACGGTATGAGGAGGGTCCACCCCATCCTCACAGTAGGGGGTGAGTTCGCCTCATTGAGCATGGGAGCCTGACTCGTCTGAAAGGGAGTATAACCTGAGTCTGACCTGCTTCTTTCAATTAAAACAAGGATGCTTCTTCCATAGGAAGGATATTTCCTGGGTGTGAAGTGGCATCCTCTTGGCAGGAAAAATAGGTCCAATTGAGCTTTGAGCTTTCTGTATTTATTTTACCTCATCTGCACATTGTCATTCTTCACATTTCACAGATGAAGAATGGGGTCCAAAGAGTGGTCACCTGGCCTCTAAGTGGTAGTATGTCAGGACTAGAACCCCATCCAGCATGGGCCACAGCCACTGCTCTTCATTTCGACACTTCTGCCCCCCACTTGTGAACAGAAATGTGTCAGACACATCCATGTCATGGCCATCTGTATACCCACTACCCAGGTCCCATGGGCTCCTCCTTCCCCTAGACTTTAATACTAATCACTTCCTTGTGTTTGGTTCAACACATGTGCGTGCATCTCTAAGAGCTTTTGTTTTGCCTGTTTTCAAACATGTAAATAGAACCCTACTGATATAGTCTTTCCTTTCCCTCAACATTGTGAGATTCAAATAAGTCAGTGTGTGTACCTCTGGTTAGTTCATTTTCCATGTTGTGTAGTATTGTTGTAGTATCGATTGAATGTATATGCCATGATTTATTTATCTAGTATTGTTGGGTGTTTCAGTTACTTTTAATTATTGGCATTTATGAAAATAACTGCTATGATAATTATGTCTTTTGGTGCATGTATGACTATATTTATGTAGGGTCTATACCTAGAGTATGTGCATCTCCACACCTGTATCACTTTTCATGCCATTTTCCAAAGTGTTGTACCAGCAGAATATGAGATTTCACACTGTTCTGCATGTCAGGACTAGAACCCCAATCCACTGGGTTTGTAGTAGTATCTTGTAGTTTTAATTTGCATTTCTCTGATTAATAATATGGTTATGTGCCTTTTCATGTTTATTAGCCATTTAAATTTCGTTTCTCTTTTGTGAAGTGCCTGTTTGAGGATTTATCCATTTTCCATTAGGTTCTCTTTTTTTTATTATTATTCATAGGGGTTTTTTAATGTTCTGAACAGTAGTCCTTTGTTGATTATCTGTATTATAAACATCCTTTCTCATTCTGTGGCATGTCTTCTCCCTTTCTTAGGTGTCTTTTGAAGATAAACTTTTTTAATGTAGTCAAATTTATCTTCCTTATGAAAAACTCTTCCTTATGATTAGTATTCTTTGTGTCTTAAGAAACCTCCCCTACACTAGACTACTATTATGTTTTATTTTGAAATAACCATAGATTCACAAAATAGTTGCAAAAATAGAGAGGTCCTCTGTGCCCTTCACTCAATTTTTCTCAATGGTAACATCTTACATAATTGTAGTATAGTATCAAAATCAGGACACTGTTATAGGTACAATCACATACCTTATTCAGATGTCATGGATTTTATATATATGCACTCATGGGCATGCAGTTCTATGCCACTTTATCAAATATGTCGGTTTCTGTCACCATAGTAAAGATACGGACCTCGTGCTGCCCCTTTAGTCACACCCTATGCCTTGGCAACCACAAACCCGGTCTCCATCTCCATAATTTTGTCCTTTCAGAAATGTTATATAAATGGAATAATATGGCATGTGACCTTTTAAGACTGGCTTTGTTCATAACATCCCAAGTTATTTGGACACTGAGGTCCCAGAGAGCGGCCACAGAGATCATCACAGGACTATGCCCTGACAAGACACCTTCCACACCCATATTTGACAATGAGTCCTTAATTTTCACTGCCAGAGGGGTTTAAGTATCTCCTTAAGGAATAGAGGCTGAGTTGTTTAGTTTTATCTGGTAGTTTTATTAATTTTCTCTAGTATTTGCCTTATTTTTTAAATAACATTTCCCCTCATCTCAAAGGTTATGTTTTCTGTGTAAAATATGGAAAACCACCCAAAATAAAAAATATTTATTATCCCAACTTGTAGAAACATCCACAAAATATTTTTTGAAAATGGAATTATGTAAAAATTGCTTTTGAACTTTTAACACAGCATGAACATTTCTCCAGAACTTAAGAAAAAAAAGACATTTTATTTCATTTTAATGCACTGAATAAAACCACAAACTCAAAAAAAGCCTCCTAGTGTTGGACATCTAGATCATCAGTTTTTGCTGCTAATAACACTAATGCTGTGAAGAATATCTTTGTACCTATCTGATTGTTATTTATATTTCCTGGGCCAGGAGGCAGCATGGCATACTCAGGAGGACTCCTGGAAGGCCAGCCAGGATAGGGCCTGGTAGGCCAGGGAAGTATTTGAGTCTTGGTCCTAAGTGCAGAGGGACACCATCGAAGATGGAAGGTTTTCATTTCAGGTGTGTGTTTATAAAATATCTCTGACTGCAGGATGGAGGAAAAAGTGAAGTGGATGGGTGACTTCAAACAGAAGTCGGTGGTAGCCAAGAAAGATGGTGGTGAGAGGGAGCAAACTGATGGATTACATTTCAGGTCAAAGTGGCAGGACTCAGTGTCCCTAAGCTTATAGCTCCTGCAGTGGGCAGGACTAATGGTGGTGTCATTCACTTGTTTGAGAACACTGGAGAAGGGCCAGATATTGCCAGATGTTTTTTGTTGTTGTTGTTTTACTTTGTTTTTAGGAACTAAACAAATTTATTGAGGGCGAGAGGATGCAAGCAATATAAAAATCAAAAAGCTTATCTGGCTTTAATTGGCTTTTCTTTCTCTTGTCAAAATGGGATTTTATGTGTACATTTTCTAAGGGTCTCAGTCTACTCATGAAATCCTTATACAGGGAAAGCTGTGGGGCAGAGATATTCCTTAAGCGACCCATTGAGAGGACTTTAATCAAGGTGGGAGGAATTGCTTGGTGCTGCCTAGTTCTTCCCCTTCTGCTTCATGAGCATTATGAAATAGTCATCGCACACAATGGTCAGCCCAGCAATTAGTGAAAAGCAGCTCTGGAAGCCCACTCTGCCGTCTCGGCACTGGTCCAGGTCCTTCATTGTTTTGTCCATTGTCAGGGGGTCTTTTTGATTTTCCAAAAACCCAGGTAATTCCTTTTCCATGAGGACCCTCAGGTCCTCCTTTATCAAGTAGCCTTTATTGCCAGCAAACTTGTGAAAAGTGAACATCATGGTTTCCATGACGTTACCTTTGAGACGGCATTTTGGTGCGGTCTTGGTGGAAGGTGTGGTAAGATCGCTCGGCTGGCTCGGACGCATGGCCAGTGAGTCTGTTGTTTTGTTTTAATGGAAATTTAGAAGAGATTATGATAGTCCTGTGCTGAGTTTGAGGCACTTCTGAGACACACAATGGAGATGTCAAAGTGGTAGTGGATATAGGAGTCTGGGCTAGAGATACAGATCCAGGAGTTACTGATGTGGAGACGGCGCTGTAAGCCAGAAGTCTGGTGCACATCACCTAGGAAAGGCCTGTGTGGTGAAGACAGGCCTGGGCTTAAAGGCTGGTCCTCCTTGGTTATGACTGGTAAAGGCCAAACTCACTCTGCAAAAGCGCCTGAAGAAATCCATTTGTATTGTCAATCCAAATGGAGCAGGAAATGTGTATGTTAACTCTAAACCAGAATGCTCAGTTTGGCTCAGGAGTAACAAGTCAGCAGAATGGATGGATGACAGTGCCACGTAGTTTAGGTAATCACACACATGAGAAATCCCCACACGCCAATGTTCTCTATCCTAAATGTTTCTACACAGAAACAGGGGATGTATAATGCTATTTTATGAACACTAAAAACTACCTAAAAACCCACATCATGAAAAAATATTCATTATATCCATAAAGAAATATGGATGTACTGAATATATTTATTGCACAAATGGTCTCTTCAGTCCCACAAGTTACAACTGGCTCTGTGCCTGCCAATGACATCTGCTCATCCGTGTACTGGTTTGATACCTGTCACTGTTCTTGTTCAGCTTTGTAACTTCCCCAGGCCTAGCACTGCATCCTTCCCTATAGAGAGTATATGCTGAATGAGCAGAAAGAGTAAAATCATACATGCAGAAACAAGAATCATTTTATATTAGTGGCTTCTGCACCATTTGTTCTAAAGGAGTTAAACTTTGTAGAAGAATCTGCAGAAGCATAATCTATAAATCATTTTTACAATAAATAGAAAAAAAGTGCTTAAAAACAATAATCCCAATATATGTATAGCCACAACATGATCAAAATATATACGAGATAAAAGTGTGGACTATACCAGAAATAGTAAGACAGTGGAAGCTCTAAATTTAGAAACAAATATTTTAGAGAGGAAACATTTAAATATATTAGGGTAAAGAACCAGTGTAAAAGTTTTTAATGTTAATAGAGAAGATTACTGGCAAGCTTCAAAAACAAGAAACTAAAAATATTCAGTAAATATTTGGGTGCATAGTCCTCTATCAGGCATTCTGTCCATATCAATTCTATACTGGAAGCTCACACAATATGACTGCTAGTTCCCTGTGGTTTACCTAGAAGAGGCTCCAGTGGAAATGACAGGGGAGACAACACCACTTTCACAAGAAAAATGAATACAACCTAGAAAATGTGAACAAACCTGTAGGACACATGGATTAAATTAGTAAAAATCTATCCTTCTACACAACACACTTTGCAGCAGTTAATAAAAGCAAAAGTAACAAAGCCTGGAAGTGCCATCAAACCATAACTTTATTTCACAATTAATAAACATCTGAAACAGGGTAAATACGAGCATGCATAATGAAAGTGGTGCTCAGGGATCATATCCAAATAAATTCAAGACAAGAAAATGAAAAACAGATTAAGGATACAGTTTGCAGCTCAATTTGTTTTTACAACACAACAGAAGTGAAAGCAATGCAGCCCTTAAACTCAGGATTTTTTAATAAACTCATTTTTAATAACCTGGAACAGTAATTAGCTGTAATTTACTAAGATACGGAATCTTGAACATAATATTATGAAAACTGAAACCTCAGAGGAAGAATATAAAAAAAATACAAGCCATAAAAGTATGATTATTGCTGCAAGGAACTTGTAGCTATTTGTAGAGATTAATCTAGAACTGTCACATTGATAATAACAGTTGGAAGAGAAATTTTTGACTGATCTGTGGTTGAGTCTGATGTCATTTTTAAGGTTCGGTGCCTCTTCCTTAAGGCTTATAAATCCTAGAAGGCTGCATGTAGCTGAGACCTTAAGACATCGAGGTCTAAAGTGTCATGCCAAAAGGTCAGCCGTCTGAGTGACTTTTGGAGGTCTCCTTATGAGGCTCAGTAACATACATGTTGGGATGACTTCCCCCTGACACAATGCTCTGGGAAATTCTACAAAAACACTTCCTAAAGGAGGAAAGACTCATTTTTCACCACCTTTCCAGAAAGTATCCACAGGCTACATCAGACTGTTTCAGGGTTCACAGTTCTTCAGAAAACAAGATGTGATCCTTTTGAGATCACTAAATTTATAAACCCTGAAATAAATTTACACCAAGACCTACAAGTTTGTCTTCAACAGAATAGTTTAAATGGCAATTTTAAAAATTAGAAAACTTCTCTCATCTCTAGCTGGAGGCTTCACTGGAGTTTCACAGTTAAGGGTAAGACAACAGGAGATCATGCATCCTGTCATGGAACATAACTTGTACTCCTAGCACTGATTTAGAATCTTATATTATTTATAAATATATTATAAGATTGTGGCAGCACTGTCAACCTGTGACTAGAAAAGCCCCTTTCCTGGAAAAGAAGGGCAGGAAGGGGCCTCCTACTGGGTGTTGCGCATCCACAGCACCTTAAAGTCCGGCCAGACCCTTGATCCATTTAATCACAGACCTGAATAGGCTCGATGAACTATTTTACAGTGACCCGAACAGTAGAACAGAACATTGTAAAACTGTCTGGTGGCTGCATATCAAAGGCCTCAGCATCCTTGTTCGCTGTGCTTACAGTACCAATGAAGTCAGTTCCAGGCAATTTTGGGATGTCTATGAGGCTGAGAAAATAAAACATAAGATTGATCAGATCAGCAGTCTCTGTAGTATTGGGAATTAACCCATTTTAAATAAGAGCTATAAGCACAGTATAAATGGTTTTCATTTACAGCTGAAAAAGCTTTGACCTTAAGCCACAAACAAGGCACCCGATGACTTTAAGTACCAGCCCGAAATAAGATTTTCACATGTGCTGTGTGACACTCACTGATCCATGGTTAAGTAAGCTTAGAAAATGCTGTTGTTCCCTGAACCTCAATAGCCCCAGTGGTTAGGACATTAGCGTTCTGTAGTAGGTGTAGTACCTGCTGATTGTTTCACTGACTTCCCAGAGTTATCTGACCACAAAGGAGCCAGCCTCTTTGTCTTGTAGCACTTCAGAGCGCCTGGGTGGCCCTGCTAAAGGAGGGGCAGAGGCGACATGCCTGCTGGGCCCTCAGTCAGTTCCTGGGTGCTGTACCTTTCAGCTCCCTTGGAGCAGGGGTGACAGCCTTTGTTTCTCTGTGTTCCCCCAAGATGCCATGCACAGGGGGTCACTCAAGTACTTTGAGAGGCAGAGAAAGAAGGAAGGTTAGGAGGGAAGAGGATCAACCACAGGTGCCAAGAGGAGAGGAAGGAAAGAGGCCCTTGCACCACTGCCTTCACCTCTCACCATCGACGGCCAGCGTTCTTCTTAGATTGCTCTTTGTCCCCAAACAGGGTTGACAGACATGCATCTTAGCAGTCAGGACCTCATACCCTGGACTGCAGTGATAGGAGCCAAAGCAAATCACCTCAAGGACCATAGGAGGCCCAACCAAGCACTGAAACAGACCCTGTGCCAAGGTTCCTAGTTGAGAAAAGGAAAAAGACAAGAGAAGAGCAAGGAAGAAACTGAGCTGGCTGGAAAACAGAGCAGAGCACAGGGCTATGAACAGTCCTGGGAGAGCAGAGGCCAGGCTGAGTGGCTCAGCAGCAGTGGTGGTCCGTCAACTGTAGACTCCCTACCTTGGACTGGTAGCCCCGTTCGGCCATCATCTTTGCCTCCTGCTGCAGTAGGGCATTGGTGAGCTGCTCTGTCTGCCTCACTTCCTCCTCTTCCTCCTCCTCTTGTTGGTCTGCTTCCCATGCCTGCAACCGGCGCTCTGCAACCTGGGCACAAAGAGCAAAGTCACCATTAAGACAAGGCCCACGGGGCAGAGCCCTGCCTATGATGAAGAGGGAAAGCCTCTGGATCTACCCCAGCTGGAGAATCAGATGTAACAGTGATGGCAACTGCCAGTAACTGGAAAGGGCATTTATGGTACGGGAGAAGTTATACGTGTGGTAATATGTACCTTGTAAAACGCTCTGGATGTGGCCACGTGTTTGGAAAATTTTTAATTTAAAAAGTTTTCAATTAGTCGACATACATACAATATTATATTAGTTTCAGGTATAAAATAGTGATTAGACATTTATGTAACTTACAAAGTGAGAGAAGAGTAACACAAATTGAATTGTGGCCCAGTGAGCTAAATGCTTTCAGATGCAGACAGGAAAAACAGATGGTAGACAGTAATGACAGCCTTGTTCCCACATGAGACAAGGATCTAGAGTGATGCTTGAACTACAAATCAGGAAAAATCAGAATTTCAGCTGAAAATAAAAAGGGATGCACTGGGCTCTCAAACATGGGCTTCTTGGACAAGGTACTAGTGCCAGGCTGTGGAAATAAGTCAAGGGCCTCTGGTTCCTACGCCACAATGATGCAGGAACCACGGCAGGGCCTGCTGCCTGCAGCTCTCACTCCCCTTGCTGAGGCTGCCTCCCACCCATGGAGTTGGCCCCACCTGGGCTTCCAGCTCTTGTTTCCTGGCCAATTTCATTTCTTCACTCTCCTCCTTCTCACGACGAGCTGACTCTCTTGCCTCCTCAAGGTTTCGAATAAGTTGCTCCCTGTGTCTTAGGGATTCCTCTTGTGCTTGTCGGTTTTGTTCAATCTTTTCTTGTATTTGTCGTTGTCTTCCTCTCAGGACCTAGCCTCAGCAGAAAAGAGAAGGAAAGATTTTAGTTTGACTCTAACAGATACCTATTCTCCAAGCCACGGATAGGCTGCAGTTGCACTGAGACTCGGCCTAATCCTCAGCCTGAGGCCTAAATATGCCACATGGAGGCAAGCCCAGACTACAGAATCGGTCCAAACAATATCGCCCACCCTTGTCACACTCAAAATGTCTGCAGGTTGGGCCTTAAGGAGAGACAGCTGAGCACCAAGGAGCAGGATGGAGCTCCCTCCACAGGGGCACAGAAACACAGCAACCAAGTGAGTCTCACACCCTATTGGTGAGTTCTAGAAAAAAGCCACAAGCCACACAGATGACCAGAGGTGGAGTCTGAGTCATCCCCCCAACCTGTTTGATTTTTGGCTACAGAGCAGGATTATGACCCACCACCAGCCCAGGACTCAGGAACCAGAACAGCCAGAAGCCACCCACCATACCCAACAGTGAGGTCTCTGGAAGGGGCATGTAAAGTGGCTACTAAGAGAAACATTTTAAATGGGGAAAATAAAAAGATGCTGGAGAATATCTGGTATTCGCAAAAATGAAAAGGTACCATTGGGACCTGATTTCCCATGGATTTCCAAATGTAGCATACTTGACATACACAAAATACAATTTCCATTTTAAACCATTTTTTATTTTTTCCCCCAGCTTTATCGAAATATAATAGACAGTTACTCCTATTTACATTGTACAATTCAATGTTTTTTTTTTCAATTATTATTGGCATCCAATATCAGTTTCAGTTGTACAGCAGTGATCAGAGTTCAAGTGATCACCCCACTAAATCTAGTATCCCTCTTCCCCCTTACATATTTATTGCAACATTACTATTTTCTTTATTCTAAACTTATATCCCCATGACTATTTTGTAACTATCCATTTGTATTTCTTAATCCCTAGGCCCTTTTTTACCATCCCCCCCCAACCTCCCTCCTGTCTGGTAGTCCTCAAAATAGCCTCTATATCTGAGTTTGTTTCTTTTGTTATTAGTGTTTATTCTTTAGATTCCACATGTACATGAAATTACGTGGTATTTGTCATTTTCTATGTTTCTTCATTTAACGCAATACCCTCTAGGTCCATCAAGGCAATATCTTTTTCCATCCTCTTTTAGTCTGTGTGTGTCTTTTAATCTGAAGTGAGTCTCTTGTAGGCAGCATATGAGGGGGTCTTGTTTTCTTATCCATTCAGTCACTCTATCTTTTGGTTGGAGCACTTAATTCTTTTCCATTTGAGATAGTCATTGATAGTTAAGTAGTCATTACCATTTTTTATTCATGATTTCAATACATGTTTTTCCTTCTTAAAGAAGTCCCTCGAACATTTTCTGTAATAGTGGCTCGGCGTTGAGGAATTCCGTTAGCTTATTTTTGTCTGAAACACTCTTTATCTGTCCTTCAACTCTAAATGACAGCTTTGCTGGATAAATTATTCTTGGTTGTAAATGCTGGGTTTTCATCACTTTGAATATTTTGTGCCAAGTCCTTCTGTCCTGCAAACTCTCTTTTGAGAAATCAGCTGCCAGTCTTATGGGTGCTCCCTTGTAGGTAACTGATTTTCTCTTGCTGCTTTTAAGAGTCTCTCTTTGTATTTAACCTTTGGCATTTTAATTATGTGTCTTGGTGTGGGCCTCTTTGGGTTCCTCTTTCTTGGGACTCTCTGAGCTTCCTTGGGTTATATGTCTATTTCCTTCACCAGGTTGGGGAAGTTTCCCATCATTATTTCTTCAAATAACTTTTCCACTTCTTGTTCTCCCTCTCTTCCTTCAGGTACCCCTATTACACGGACGTTTTTACACTTAATTTTGTCCCAACAACTCCTTAAATTATTATATTCTTAGCTTCTTTCTTCTTGCCGTTCTGATGGTCTTTGGCTTCTCCATCCTCTATATTGATGGTTTGATCCTCCTCTTCATCCACGGTGTTAATTCCCTCTAATGTACTCTTCATATCAGATAATGTGTTCTTCATTTCTGACTGGTTCCGTTTTATAATTTCCAGTTCCATTTTTATGTCTTTTACCTCTTTGTTAAAGTTCTCACTGAGTTCATCTACATCTCCCCTAAGTTCATTGAGCATCATTATAACCATTATAACCAGTGTTTTGAACTCTGCATCTGTTAGATTGACTCCATTATGCCTGGATCTGTTCTGTTCTCTTGTATAGTTTCTGCTTCTTTGTGTTCCCATTTTGGCTGCCTTTCTGTGTCTGTTTCTATGTACTAAGCAAAGCTCCTAAGTCTCCCAGTCTTATTAGCGTGGCTTTGTGAAGGAGGTGTCCAGAGGCACAGTCCTGCGAGGCGTTCAGCAGCAGACCAGGTTTCGCCCCAGCCTGTGTCCCTCTAAGGCCACCTGTTAAGGTTCAGCAAGCAATCCACAGATGCTGTGCTTACAGTTGCCTCAAGAAACCACACCATAAACCAAAGTCAGCTGCCACCAGTGTGAGTCTAGGCGCTGCTCAGCAAGTTGCACAGGACTCGCTAAGGAGTTGGGGAGGTGGAGTTTTAGGGAATCCTCTGAGTGAAGTGACCTCTGTTATCTAGTTTGAGGACATCTCAGCTATGGCAGTGCTGCATCCGCACACTGGAGGTGGGGAGAGCTCAACAGAGGAACAATGGATACCGCCAGCACTTCTGCCCAGGAGGAAGCCTCGCCTCCAGCCCTCACTCGGACACCTCAGCATCCCCTATAGGTTCCTGGTCCCCCACACCCACAGCAGCAAACCAGGTGCTGGTGCTCAGAGCGAGCGAGTCCATCACTGCAAAAGTCTGGTCATGGACATGGCCGCTTTAAGAGGAATGTCTGCAGCTGCTGGCTGCTGCTGCCATAGCCTTTGTCTCACTCAGCGCTTGGGACCGGGCAGCCTTGCACCTTCACTCCGTCCTACCTTCTACCATTGCAGGGCGATTTCTTATTTCTCTTCCTAGTTGTAGGGCTTGTTCATCTAGATCCCAGGTGACTCTACTTGCTGTTTGCTCTGTGTTTCCATCACAACTTCGATGTGGCCATAAGTGCAGATGAACAGAGCCTTTGTCATCTACGCCATTCTGACGCTGTCTCCATTTTAAACCGCTTTAAGATAACTTTCAATACATGGGTAATGAAGACTTTTTTCCCAAAAAGATATCCTTTTAATTGGGATGAGCCTTATACACATTACTTATACACATACTGACAAGTAAAACACTTATGTTATTTAGTCCACTTCTGGTTATGCACCCCAAGAAAAAAAAATCCTAAGTATGGAAAGGTTATGCACCAATATGTTCACTGCAAGGATTTTATAATGCCTCAAAATTAGAAAAAAAAAAAATGGAATACCCACAAAAGGGGAATGGAAAAACAAACTATGGTATACCCATGTGATGATATATTATGCAGCTATCAAAATAATATTTACAAAGATATAATAATTTGTTAAAATGCTTGAAATCAAATAGCATAGTATAGGAAGAAATATGTAGGAAAAACGTTCTGTACAGAAACAGAAGAGCGGAAGGAACAGTAATAGTGGCTATGCGGATGTTGGGGGGCTAGGTGAGTTTGTTTTTACTTTGCTGAATTTTTTCTAATAAGATTATATTACTTTTATAATGATATTAAGAGTCCATTTAAAATAACCAGAGGACTCTCTTCCCAGAACATCTGGCAGAGTCAATACATGGTCATTAAGTCCCAGATCCCAGCCCTGGGACTAGCCAGCCCATGTCTGTCGCAGCTAGGATTACCTCGCTCATCAGTCTGTCTCGTGCACTCCTTTCTCGGGCCCACTCTGCCTCTCTCTTTTCCCACATTTCCTTGGCCTCCTCCCTAGGGAAACACAAAGCAATGAAAGAAGGCTCCTTAGCACCACTGATGGCAGAAGGGAACTAAAGAACCAACAGGGCTCCAAAGCATCAGGCAGCACACATCTGTGGAGCCAATCTTCAAATAACCTTATCCATACAAGCTTTTAACAGATTAAGGACAAGTTCACAGAAAGTATTCCTATGGTAAGTACTTTAAGTTACCTTTTTAAATATTGCCATCTCCTTACAAAAAGCACTTGTGATGATTTGCACCCAGGCCATTTAAACACTGAGGTGAATGAAACCATCAGGACTCTGGAGAGGAGGAAGGCCACTGCCGGTGCCTGAGCTCTGTCACCATGCCCCTGGGCTTCCTGCTAGCTCATCCTGTGGCCTGGGGCAAAGGAGAGACCACTTTGCATCTCCATGGCCGAGTATCTACCAAATATCTGGCACTCAGTAAGTGCTCAATAAATGTTATCTGTTGTTTTTATATACAAGATTAATTTTTAGGATCCACACCCATTTTATAGACCTAAGAAGCATTCAACATTTCCATAATTTATAACAATTTCCTTTTGAATTTCTAAGATTTTAGATAAACAGATCCTTACTCTAAACCCTAATGATTTCCATCTTAAATAACTGAAGAGAAACATTCCTACAAGCCAAGTCCATTTGCAAAGATGTGCTCCTAGTGAATGATGGACAGATTACCAATAAAAAGTGTTTCAGTAACAACAGACTACCCTCATGGAGACCTGCACTGGATCCCAAGTACCAGAGTAGAACTCAGGAGGGTCCGGCCCAGACAGTTGCTGCCTCTCACCTAAACAGCATCTGCAGCTCTGCCTCCCGCTCCCTCTCCAGCTGCAGCTGCTCCTCGATGACCTGCTTCATCCACACCACATCAGCCAGAGCCTGCTCTCGCCTGGCCAAGTGCACGCGCTGGTTCTCCTCCTCCTTCTGGAGCAGTGCCTGCAGGATGCGATTGTCTGCCTCCTAGAGGAAGGAGAAGGAAGCACAGTGGGCGTGTGCAGAGCCCTTGGGCAGCCACGGCCTCCACTCCTGCCAGCCCCTCTCCATTCTGGTGCAGACACTCATGATGCTGCCAGATCTTCTCAGGTAGAGATGGGAAGACACTGAGTTGTTTCTGAAGAGTCAGGGTATAATCTCTTAGGGATGGTTTAAAATGATACCGCAGAGGCCCAGGAGCTGTTCTCCGCCTGAAAGGGGACCCTTCTGCCACCCACATGCAAGTCCCTGCCCTCAGACATGTCTAGTAGCACAACTTTTTAGAACACAATTTGGCAGCAATTCCACTTCTAAGAACACAGACTAGAAACACAAATACACAGAGATACATGCACAAAAACCTCACTGTAGCTGTTATGTAAGAGAGAAAAACCGAAAACCACCCAAAACTCATGGGTAGAGAATTAGCTATCATCTACATCTATACACAGGAACACTGTAAAAGAATGAGGGTGCTCTGGAGGCCTTGAAATGGGAAAGATGTCCTGGGTGGGTGGGGGGGACCTGCATGACAGGACACCTGACTATAGTAGGCAGGGATGCGAGGAAACGGGTTTGCTTGTTCACTCTCTTTGTCCCTATCTCAGGGAGGGAGCCCATCAAAATACTTGGCAGGAATACTGAGCAGTTAGTCAAAAAAGAACAAGCTCAATCTAACAGACTGATTGTGAAGTATAGGCTTACTTAGGTGAAAAAAGACTTCAAGTCCATTTTTTAAAAAACCACCACTTGCCCATATGTGTATGTATATAATATATACATGTATCTGGAAGCATACATGCCAAAACAGACAACTCTGGGGAGAGGTAGGGATTACAGGGGCTGGTCCGTAGGGAAATCACTTTGTTCTACCTCTACTTCTTACCAGGACACATTACTGAGCAATGGAAAACGTGTTTTTCAAAAGAGGGTAAAAGAAACCCTGTCTCTTCAGACTCACCAGTTCCTCTTGGATCTGCTGTGTACGTCTATGGAGTTGTACATTATACTGATGTCTCAAAAAGCGTCTAAAAATGAGCAAAATATGGGTCGCCTTTAGTGTCTTATAAGAATTAATCGGAGGTTAGACAGCTACTTACTACAGGTCGTATCCTTTTTGGTTTCAGGGATACCAGAGCAGGGATACTTCAAAGAAAGAGAGAGGCTCTGAGAAAGTGGGGTGGGGGCAGCTCTTCTCACACACACCCCAGCTCTGCCTTCTGCTGGAAGGCTGCTATCTGCTTCCTCTCTTCCTCCAGCTTCTCCAGCTCCCACTGCTGCTTCAACAGATTCTCCTGTTCCTTCTTCAGTTTGGTGGCCTGTGGTTACAATGACAGTTACCTCAATTAAGATCATGAGAATCAGAGTTTCCTTCATTACTCATTTTCATTTTCAGCAGACACTGTGCACGGAGGGCTGGCCTGGCCACCTGGTGATCATAATCCCCTCCTACCTTGGGGGCTCTGAGCCCCTTGGCCCAGCTTAACTGATTCATCTCAACTCAGCTGAGCCATTTCCTACAAGAAAATTTCACAACCCTGTAGACAAGGATAAACCCACAGGACCCTGTACTGTCCATGCCTTACTGCAACTTACCACCTGTCTCCTCCACCTCACCTTGCTCTTACTGTGAGGGCTAGGACTGTGGGCCTTGCTCACGGCTGTTATTGCTAGCACCCAGCCCAGTGCTTAGCACCTAGAATAAGTAGTGGGTACTAAAGATCTAGTTCTTGAATCATTCAGGTCTGGGGAAGGGGGTGCTTCCCTCATCTGAATGGTAAGACCCAGCCCTCTCCAGAAAACACAGTATTCTCAAAACAGACTCTTGGACCAAAGACTCTCACAGTTTGTGTCTTGAGACCCAAAACCTGCTAGCCAGGGAGAGCTGTGTGCTAAAACATCAGACTAAGTCAAGTCTGCTTAGTGCATGGGAAACTTAAAGTTCTAAGAAGGCTCTCAGATAGGTCTCAAAACATGTCTGAAAAAACAAGCATTACCTTCATATTGCTAACGTTCTAGAATCTGGGCTCACAATACAACCTAGGAGAATGGAAAAATCACAGATGGGAATAAATGTCAGAAAGGAGAACCCAGTATTGCTGCATTTCTTAGAACCACCTCCCTGATATGAACTCTTTATAACAGCTTTTGAAATGGCCATTTTACAACAAGCAGCCAAGAGGGGCTGCGTGGCTGTGGGCATGCCCTCACCTCCATCTCTTTTACTTTCAACTCCTTCATCTGCTGGAGCAGCGCCTCGGCCTGGAGTTTATCCTCCAATTGCCTCCTCTCCTCTTCTGCTTTTATCCGCTCTAGTGCTTCCCTTCGTGCCATTTCATACTCATTTTCATACCGTTTGTTCTCTTCCTCTTCCGTGGCTTCTTGCTATATGGAGCCAAATGAATCTAGTTCAGTATCTGTACCACGCTGCCAGCAAAGACCCAGCTCCCGCAGCTGTTCAGCCGGCCACAGGCCTGGTTCCTCATTCCACTGAGTATACACCAGGGCAGGCCACTTCTCATCTGTGAAACCCAGGGATCACTGTGGGAACTGGGGGACTGATGCTCCCCTGAGAGACGGAGCTGCAGCACAGTGTCTAGCTCCAAAGAGGGGCTCAACAAACACTTCCCCAAGTGAGCCCAGAGGCAAAGCGATGGGTTCATGGATGTGCAGCTATCAGCCAAGGTTGAGAGTTTATGATGCATACTATATCAAGAGACTGCCAGCAACAAAAACATCCTTTAAAACATACATTCTCCCTACCATAGACCAGCCCTGCTCACCTGGTCTTATTCTGTCCCTGGGAATGACAGGATTCTAGGACATGTAAGAGCAACATTCAGTTTTAACATGTGTTAAGTAAACTGAAGAAGAGGCTATTCTTAGATTGGAGTCATTAACATCGAAAACAAAGACATGGGGACAGTCGCCACCATAGCACATAGGAATACTTCTGGAGCCATATACCACACCTGCTTTTTTTCTTCTTTCTGCATTTCCCAAGAGTTTATCACATGCTTCTTGTGAAGGTCTGATTCAATCTGAAGATATAAAAGGGCAGAAAATTAATTTCTTCAGTGGTTCATCTGACAGATATTCCCTGGGGCGCACACTGCCACACAATGGAATGACTTCCTTTTGTGAGGACTCGGAGTGGCCCTGGTGTCTGGTATGGGATGACCCCAACATATATAGTCTGAATGCAAGTCAATTAGAAAACCAAAGGACCAGGCAGTTCTAAACCAGTCTCAAGAGCTGGAACGAAGTAACAGAAACTTTTCTCCCAGGTCTCTTGACGTTGAGCAAGAATAGGTCAGCAGACATGTCAAAGGCCACACTAAAGCATGCCAGGCCCCAGGGCAGCAGGAGCTGGTGAGGGGAAGACTCAACACTCTGCCTGGCTCCCCAGCACTTCCGCTGCAAAGTAGCTGAGAAAACGTACTCCCCATATCAAGACGCATGCTCTAGTAGATGCAACAAGTCTGGGTGGTTAATAAGAGATTTGGGTTTAGAGAATCTTTTGGATCAGAAAATGAATTATAGTACTCTGTCCAAAAGCTTTCATTTGGGAAACTGTTTATAAAAGTTTAAATTTTCTTTCTCAACTCATAAATATGAAAATTTTCAACCAACTTAATATTTTAAATAACCTTTTGAGTACATGACTTTGGAGGACCCACTAAGCTGACAAACGGCCAGGGAGAGGCATCTTCTCGTGGTTAGTGCTAACTGCATACACTCCAAAGCAAAAAGATGTCCATTACTTAGTGACTGGCAATTTCTAAATGTAATTATGAATGTATAAATTAACATGCCAAATGTATACAAAAACTATTAGTTGAAATAAGTTGAGATGCAGTGATGGGATCGCTCTTTAGCCCAAACTCTGCTGAACAATGCCACTCAAGCCCAGACGCCCCCTCTCTCCCTGCCTCCAGGTCCTAGATTTGGCCTCCTTTCTCCTGACACCCGTTTAGGCCTTCACCATCACTCACCTAGGCTGCTGTAGCGCCCTCAACCGCCAGAGATGCAGCTGGGATCCTATGGCTCCTCTGCTTAAAACCATCTAGTCATTCCTCGTGCTTCCAGGGGAAGTACGTAAGGCGGCCTGAGGTCTGGCTCCATCTGTCTCACAAGCCTCAGTTCTTGGGGCTCCCTTCTTTGACATCCTAGCCTCCCAGCCACTTATAGCTCCCTGGACTCGCTCTGCTCTCATGACTCAGGCTTGATTCTTGCATGGTTGCCTCGAACCAGAATGTCTTCTCCTAACCTCTACACCATCAAGTTAATGCCTATGTCTTTCCAAACTCCTCCACCCCAGCGACTCCTCTGGGATGCCTCCCCAACCTCTGACTGAGCTGGAGACACTGCCTCGCTGCCTGTCTTCTGAGGCTTGCCTGGCACTCTGTATCCTGTACTGTTAACAAGCTGCCTACTATTTTCCCCACTGGACCAGGAGTTCTCTAAGAGTGGAGACCACCTCTAATCTCCACGCTCCCACAAGGGGACATGGCAGCAAGATGTTCAATAAACAGCAGTTAAACAACCAAATTAACCCAGATCTCCTGTGTGGTGCTCTTTTCAGGTAGCTTGAGCGTCCCCTCCTGTCTCAAACCAGCATAGGATACAAGTTTAAAACAGGCTGGGAAACAGGATTTCATCTATTTAGGCGAATCAATGGGAAGATCTTCTTGATTTTCACCTCTCGAAGTTTGGGGTCATTCTTTTTCCAGTGTTCATATAAAAGTTGTTCAGCAATCTGTCAAAAAAAAAAGAAGCAAGCTTGATGTCACAAATCCATTCACATTTTGGGTAACACACAATGCGAGTCAGCTCAGACTAAGCTGGCACACTGGCACACTGGCACTGCACTTGTCCTACACAGCTCCTTGCCTTGCACTCAAGACTCCAGAAGCCAGACACCCGAGTGGAACTGGACGGCACTGACAAATGACTCTTACGATAGTGATGAAAGAGGGGCAGAGTCTGATGCTATAGATGGGTCCTAGATGCTACAGATCTGCTTCAAAACATACAGCAGGCTTAAAACACAGGTTGGGGCTCACTATTCCACACAGCTACTTTGGAAGGTAAATTACACCAGTCCCAGGCTTTGTGGAACCACAGAACTGGAATAAAGAAAAAAGACTCAGATGTAACAATTTAAATGGCCAAAGAGAATAAAAATGATTTGTCCAAAACACACACATGAAGAGCAACTAACTTAGAGTAAGCAGTTTTCCCAGTTGGCTTTGGAGTTAACTGCTATCTCATCTGACCCACCCAGAAGTGACCCATGTGTGCATCACTGACAGGCTGGGGACACTCCTAAGGGCAATGAGAATTTACCAGTTTCCTTTGCTCTTCCCGGGCCGACTTGAGATTCCCATGCCGTTCCCGGATTCTTCTTTCCCGCAAGTTCATGCTCAGCCTCAGCTCCTCCAGTTCTCTGGCCATCAGGTCCTGTTCCTCCAGCAGAAGCTGCTGGAGTCTCTCCCGTCTGGCCTCCAGATGCTTCCTCTTCTCCTCCTTCATCTTCTCACGCTGGTAGGCGTGCATACTGGGTAAGAAGGAGCCCACCATAAATCAGTCATACTACAGCCATATGGACCACTCTGCTCTGCTGTGTGGGTAAAGAGGCTGAGGTAGGTATAAAATGGTGACACAAGAAGTCATCCTCCAGGCAAAGTGAACAGAGCAGGTCAGTACACTATGCATAACAGAACCTTGTTTTTGCAATAAGAAGATGTATAATGTGTTTATATATGCACATGATAATTATACTAGCAAATATAACTTGGGCAATTACTATGTACCAGTGAAAACGATGGTTTTATACTAACCAGCACGTAAACCCTACAAAGTAGGTTCTGTTTCAGCCTCACTTCACTGACAAGGAAACTGAGGCACAATCATGCAGTAAGCAACACAGTCAGGATTTCCACCTAGGTTGATTCCAAAGCCTCTGCTTTTAACTTCCACATTTTTACATGTATTTTTATAAAAACAGATGTATGTGTATTTACATACAAACAAAAATGAGAGAATGTATGGGAGGATATGCATCAGGTTGGTAACTGTGGTTGCCTCTGAGGATGTGGGGTTACAAGGAAACTTCCAGATTCTACATACATTTCCTATCATTTTCTTTTTCAATGCAAATGTTTTACTTCAATGATGATCCTTTTTTCAATTTACAGTTGGAAAAACATCACCAGGCAGGCAATCTATGCTGCTCAGAAACTCCCTCAAGAAAACATGCTGTCAAGCCACACTCCCCCAGGTACTTAAGGCCACATCCCCTGACCAGCAAGTGACCGCCCACCTCCATCCAACTGTGGTCACTGCACAGTTACCTCCGCTGGTAGGAGGTCTTGGAGCTCCAGTCTGCCTGTTTGGAGCTGCAGATGTCAGAAATCCTGAAGTAGCGGCTGTTCTCATCCCACTGCTGCCGAAGCCGGGCCTCCTGCTCTCGGTGTCGCTGTCGCGCTACCTGCTGATCTAGGAGCCTCCGGCTGCACCAGTAGGAGGGCAGCGTGGGGAGTGCCATCTATGAACAGCAATTGTAGGAAAATGAGCCTGCTGCCACCCAAGGAACCCTCACAAGCTTGGCCTCATCCCTTTAGTTAGTGGTCCTCACCCACTGGCTGCACACTGGAATTGCCTGATGGAGCCTAGGCCCCAGTCCATACCAATTAAATCCAAAAAGTCTTAGTGTAGGCCTCAGGCATCAGCATTTTTAAAATGATTTGCCATCAGGGCTGCAAATCATCGATTTAAGCCTGCCAGACATCACCAAGGGCACTGAGACAAGGAACCAGACCTAGCAATGCTGGACCAGGCACACTGGAGACTTGTATGCTTTGCATAAATTAACATGGATAATAATTTAAGGAACAAGTGTACCAACCTCTTGGTATATATGACCTTTTCCATTACAATCACCCTGTTATTTGGCAGGGAAGAAACAAGTTCAAAAAGGTAGAGTGATTTGCCCAAGATCACAAAACCAGGAAGTAGAAAAAAATCAAAGAGCTGAGATCCTAATTTACACAGGACCCAGGCTCTGTTAACTGCAAGAGGCTGCCTGTGGGACCAACATCCCCTGGCTTTGGCAGCCTCCAAGGAGGGACCTAGTCCAGATGTCATACCAGGAAGTGTTCTGGGTTAGCATGCAGGGCAGATCGCTCATCTTAAAAATAGAGAAACTGCGACCCAGAGAGAGTACACGATTTGCCCAGGTCACAGAGCAATCTTGGGACACAACTGAAGACTTGAAAGCAGAGAGCGGTCTCACTCCGGACACCTTTTCCCCTGACCCACTATTACAGCGAGGCGCTGTGTAGATCCCATGTGCAGGGTCTACACAGTGCCTGACTATGATACTGCTTGACAAACGTCTGTTGAATAAGCAAAATGCCCGAGACCAGGCCAAGTCTCAAATTCAGAGTCCTCCAGACCTAGAGGAAATGATTTGCGTCTATGGGCCAAGTTGAGCCTGAGACTGCCTGTTTATAATTTCTGCCTTGAGACTAGCAGGATTGACATGCTTTTTTCTTTTCCCTGTAAACTGCCCGTGGATAAACCTTTACACCAGGTATCAGGAAACAAGATTCCGGTCCCAGACCGGCCACAAACAACCCAGGCTGCTCCCTGAACAAGTCGCATCCCTCTCTTGGCCTCGACATCCACACAGGACAAAAGGGGTCACAGAAGAAAGTGTCGAACCCAGAGCGGGACGGGAGCAGAATGGACCGGAAGACCGGCCCCCAGGCGTCCTGCGCTCGCTTCCCGGACGCCCGCCGCGGTTTCCGCTAGGCCTCAAGACCGGATCCTGGCCGAGCCCAAGCTCCGACTCACGTTTCTCTATGGCCCGGGTTTTCCAGAGAGTGCCCGGCCCCAGCTCCCGCATGCCCCAACCAAACCCACTTATTCCTGCGTCCACCTTCCCCGGCCGCGCTACACCAAACCCCGCTGTTTCCCAGCTCGTTACCCGGGCGACAGACCAGCGACGGAGCGCCGCGAGGGCCAAGAGGCCTCCAGCAAGATACAGCTCGCGCAAATAGAAAAAAAGGCTGTGTTTTTTTTCTCTGGCTCCCTCTGGTGGTGGGAGGTGGATCAAGGAAAAATGAAGGAAAAGAATCTATTCACTACATAAAATTCAAGATGATGGTTATTTGGGCAGCTGGATAGAATCTGCTTCCCATGTGTTCTTAATAACTTTTATAGAGGGAAGGATAAGCCAGTGGTTCTCAAACCTGGCTGCACATGAGAATCATCTGAAGAGGTCTTAAAAATCCAGATGCCTTAAAAAAATCCAGAAGCCCAGGCCAAACTCTAGGCAAATCCCATCAGGCTCTCTGAGGGCATCAGCGGTTGCCCAAGGTCCCCAGGTGCATTCAGTGTGCAACCGGCCTGGAGAATCCCTGGTGTAAGTAGAAACAACTTACTGGCAATTTTCTACTGTCTTAGATTGCTTGCAGGTTCAAGGTTCTATTAGTATATTTTATGACTCGCCGTGTTATAAGTATTATTTTAGGTATCAACTATCTATTGAAAAGATAATGAAAAATAGTCACTCTTTCTTTCATTCTCTTTTCTTTCATTTTTCTCATTCTTCTCTTTATTTTTTCTTTCCTCTTTCTGTTTTTCCTGGGTGCAGTACAGTATCCTGTTGAACATCGTGGCCTCTATTTCAACCTCCACCACGCTAGTTGTGTGGTGTTGGGCAGGTCAGTTCATCTCTCGACATCCTCATCTGTGAAATAAGAATGTTAAAATAATTGAACAAGGAAGCCATTAGATGGAGGTGGCTCTAATGCTTCCATAGCCTACTCAAGCAAACCAAAACCTAAGCCAGAATCAATGCTCTAAATCTGAGAAAATTAAACGTAAGAACAACAACAGCCGAGGATCACAAACAGCCAACTAGCCTTTCCTGAATAAGGCAACTGCTTAAGCTATAGCCAATAAAATGATTTCCTTGCTTTTCTTCCTCATCTTCTCTATGAAAACTTCTCCCCTAGCTTTTGCCTATAGGTGGAGGACTCTAATCACCTTAGACTTGGCACTGCCCAGTTTGAATTGATGTATGATCAAAAAACTCTTGAAAATTTTGATGTGCCTCAGTTTATCTTTTAACAAGAATACCAACAATTTGCTTTCTAGGATTGCCCTCGTGAGAGGAAATAAAGGTTTAAATGGAAAGCACCTAGGAGCATCTCAGGTAAGCACACGTTCTTTCATATCTTCCTTTACTTGGCTCATGGTTTCTCAAGGTCTGCCCTGTCCCCATGCATGAGACTCCCCAGGATTATTCTCCTAATGATCTCTACCCCTTTGGCCAAGCTCACTGCCACTTTTTCATATTGCGTCCCCAATGGGCAAAGACAGCCACTCACTGTTACCATCTCAGGCAAAGCTGCCCACTGAGCAAAAGAGCCCAATACATAAATGATTACTGATGGGACTCTCCAAGTGTGGTAGGAACTTCAGAAATATGTGAATTGGGTCATGAGAAGCCTGGCTTCAGGTCCTGATTTTGCACCTCTTGGGTGAGGCCCTCTACTCTCTCGGCATCAGTTTCCTGATCTGTATAATGGCCTTAAAGGATCAAACATGCTCCATTAGTGGGAGCAAGAGTCAAGGGCTTTTCTGGCCTGGTCCTGGAAGCCTGAGGCTGTAGGCCATAGCCTCTGAGCCTCTTCTGCTGGACAGTCATCGTCACTGTCTGACTTCTAACCTCATAATTACACAGCTGCCTGTAGCTCATCAAGCATCTTTACAAGCATCTTTTCCTTTGTTCCTCCCAGGAACCCTGTGAGATATTTTATTGTCCTCATTTTAGAGTTGCCTACACTGAGCCTCAGAGAGGTGGCATCACCTGCGCAAGGAACCATAGCTTGCAGATGGTAGAGCTGGGCAGCTCTGATTCCAAGGCCTTGGCCCTCTCAGCAGCACCACAGGGCAGGGATTATTACCTTCCCTGCTGTCGGCACAGAACTTGGCACAGAGTAGGCTCTCAAAAAATATTTGTTGAGAATGAATGAGTAGATTCACAAACTTCAAATCCCTTCTCCTCCTTCTCCAAAATAAAAAAGGAGAGATGATATTGGAAGAAAGCAAAAAGAAAGACAAAAAGGAACTAACATGATGCGAATGCCTACCGCATGCCAGGTGCTTGTAGATGTATTTCCTGATTTAACCTCCAACCTGTGAGATTTCTGCCTCCATTTTGCAAATGAGGAAATGAGACTCGGAGAGATCAAGCAACTCTCTTGAGGTCACACAGCAAGAACTACGAGAGCAGGATTTACGCCCAACCTCCGGAGCTTGTGAATCTCATTCTGCTTTTCCAGGAGCTTGTGGCTTGCAGCTGTAGCTCTTAAAAGAAGCTACCAGATGTGGACCAGCCAGGCCATATAAACAGTTCGGCAATATTAAATATTTAGTGACAGGTTGATAACTATAGCCTACAGGGGGCTGAGAGCGGAAGCCCTGCCTAGAGACCATCCAGGTGGACTCTGCACACACTGGGCCCTGGGCCAGCGCACAGTTACAAGGGGCTGTTCTTGGACGTGTGTCTTTGAGTATCCTAGCATGGGAGGAGAAAATAGGAATGGGGAGATCAGGTGTGATGACACAGAGCAGCTCCCCTTAGCTGAAATGTGATGGCGCTGGATGCAGTGCAATGCCCTCAATTAGCAGGTGGCATTGCCAAGGCACATTTATCTATTCTGGGTTTTCAAAGTGTTGCAACATCAGCCACTCCAGCTTCTCCCCTGGGCAGGACTCTCACACTCCCTGAAGACAAAAGATGCAAAGACCCTGGGGCTATGGGGCTGACAGAGCCCCAGTTTTGTGTTTTAGTAGTAATAAAAACAGGAATAATAATAAATGTAGGTATTCCATGAAAAAAAGGTGTGAAAGGGCATTCACCAAAAAAAAAAAAAAAAAAAAAGCAGATGTTACTGGGGACGGGATTAGGGGTGATTTTCATTTTTATTTTTCTTTGGGTTTTTAATTTTACAATGGTCACTGTTACTACTTATATAATTAAAAAAAAAATAATGCCTTGTTGATTAACCATAATAACCTGCGTTTCCATCATGCTTTATACCTTATAAGATGCTTTCAATGCATGAGTGACTCTCAACCTCGGCTGCAGGTCTGAATCACCTAGAGAGCTTTTTAAAAATCCTGATGCTTGATGCCCAAGATAGAGGTTCCAATTTAATTGGTCAGGGGTGGGGCCTGGACATTTATATTTTTAAATAAAAGTTTTTAGAATTGCTTTAGATTTACAGAAAAATTGAAAAGGTAGTACAGAGAGTCCCCTTACACTTTGTACCCAGTTTCCCATTATTAACATCCTGTGTATGTTATGTACTTTTGTAGGAAAGAAGTCTGACATGGCCTGGTGGGGTGTGGGGGTTAAGTTCAAGGTGTCAGCAGGGTTGCATTCTTTTCTGGAGGCCTTCAGTAAAATAGGTTTCCTTGCCTTTGGGGTTTCTAGAGGCTGCCACATTCCTTGGCTCCTGGCCTCGTCCTCCATCTTCAAAGCCAGCGGAGCAGCATCACCCTCTGACCATTCCTCCCTTGTCACATCTCCTTGGACCACAGCTGGGAAAGCTTCTCCGCTTCTAAGGTTTCATGTTCACACCTGGATAATTCAGAATAACCTCCCCGTCTCAAGGTTCTTCACCTTCATCACATCTGCAAAATCTCTTTTGCCATGGACATCTTCACAAGTTCTGAGATTAGGAGGTGAATGTCTTTGGAGGTCATTATTTCGTCTACCACAGGATGATAGGGGGACATACCATTCCTCATGATGAACTTTTAGTTATTGTCACTCAATTTTGTTTATTTTTTATTTTCACCTGGACACTGTGGCATTCCTCCAAGAACTCCTGGCCTGTGGCACTCACCTCATCCCTCTCAATGTGTAAGTCATCACCTTGAAAGAAACCTGTACAGGTAAGCCTGCCCTCTTCACATGTGTGCCCAGGACCTCCCTCTACGCCTTCATTGGAGCCTCTTCTGTAAATCAGGTGAGCTCTTCAGACCTTATTCTAACAGGCCTGCCCCTATATGCAGAGGAAGCTGGAAAATGGAATTCTGTTCTAGAACCTTCCATTCAGCACCCTCCAGTAGCTCAGCCTGCTTCCACCTGCTGGAATACATTTATCTGATGGAATGGCACTAACTTTTTTGGTATTCATATTATTTTTCAAGGCTATCCTAATATGAAGGAAGAAGCCTTCATCTAGCTCCACAGTATTTCATGTCTGAGATTCAGTCTTCTCATCTGTAAAATCGGGATAATAATACCAGTTTGTTATTAACAGCTGCCTTAACCCAGTGCCAGGGACATTATCAGGACCTGATAAATGATAACTGTTAGTATTATAATTGCCCGGATACTGACAATTTTCTGCATGGCACCTGCCTCAATAAGTTCTGGGCTTAGTTCCCTCTCTCCTAAAGGAAGGGACATTGTGGTTTATCTGCTCACCTCCAGTTGACAAACTCATAGCAATTCCCCCAATTTCCTCACTCAAGCTGCACCGTGATTGGAGTAGGGTATTGACTCTCCTCTGTGTGGCTCAGGGGTAAATCTAAGCCAACTGTGGTGACCCAAGTGATGCTTCGGGGGACGTCTGCTGCAGGGGTGGTGCTGGGTGTTGTCACATCTGTGGGAGACCTGTGGTTCTGCTGCAGTCGCATCTCGCCAGGAGGAAGCCAGAGGCTGTGACCATCACAAGGCAGGAAGAGAGAAGAATTAGGTCCTTCAGGGTGATGTCAAATACGGAATTAACCCACTTTGTAAATCCCCACCCCATAAGTTGGAATTCCTTTCTTCTTCTTTTTCCTTTTAAAATTAAAAAAAAAATTGTGGTAAAAAACATATAACTTGGGATCTGTCCTCTTAACAAAATTTTAAGTGTTCAGTACAGAATCATTAATGGATATGGTATATA